CAATTTCACGTTATCATCTCTAGAGGAACGCCGCCGGTGCACTCGGGCGCCATCTGCTGTCCGTGAGCCGAAGCTGCCACCCAAAAATCGCAACAGTGAAAAAAAAATAGGTCAACAAATTAAGCTAAAAGGTTTTTTTGTTCATTTTAGGCTTTACCCATTTATAGTTTTCACATATTTGTTTTTACACATGTTTAATTGTTGACATTTTAATTAATTTAAAATTAAGATTTACCTTTTGTTGTTTATCCCAATAACTTATAGTAAAATTTGGTAGTTTATTTTATTTTGTAACAAACAAGGAACATAAAAATAACAACTTAATTATATTTTACCTGCTCAACCAAAACATGTTACATTCACAATGCTTACCTAATGAATTTAAAATGTAATTGTTCTCAGTGTGCTCGCTTGACAGCAATATCCCAATCGCTGGCGTTTTCTCATTGTCGCATTGCTTTTTATTGACCATAACTGACTTTGTCATAGCATCGAAGGGGATTTAAAACTGGGCAACAGGGGTTGCAAAAGGGGGGTGGACGTTTTAGCTGCCCCTGGAGCGTATTGTATGCTTTGGCCAGATGATGATTGTTGTTACCATTGTTGCTATTTGTGCTTGGCCCAGACGTTGCTCATACGCCCTGTTGCGGCGTCATTTTGCGCACTGCCAGAAAGCGCAGTTAGAGCAACATTGTTGTGACCACTGCAGCTGCGTATGTGTGACAGTGGCGCACAAGAAAGGTATTAGTTTTGAAAAAACTATAAGTTTAAAAATGAGTATTGTAAAACAGTGTAGTTACTTTAAAAGAAATTACAAAAAAAATGAAATTTAAGACTGTATTTGTTTTACCTACAATTCTTTTAAAAGTCTGAGCATGATATTAAGCATTGTTAGATAAAAACAAAAGCTGAAAATAATGATGGCTAATATAAAATTATCTCTTCTTAATTTCAATATTGCAGTACTAAATATTCAAGCTGAAATGCATAACGGTTGTTTACTGTTAATTTTTGTTTATTTATTCTTTATTGTTTATTCTTTAATATATATAATATATAATATAACAATATTTTGAAGGTATAAATTGTGTATCAATTTAAACTTTTAAATTTTTTCTTGCTCACAAATAAAACTTCCAACACTATTACAAGTAATGGGTCTCATTAGCCCCTTTTCCAACAGGACGCAGTCTTCATTGCCAGTAATGTTTTTCGGTGCATTGTTATCCCACTTTAAAAATTTAGCTGGCAAGCCGGTGGCACCAGATACAAATTGGCCCTCTTTTTCCCGATCATTTGTGCCCAGCCAGAACCAACCTTTACCAATGAGTTTCGCCGTAAGATCAGCCAGTGCCTTTTCACTTTGTATGGATGCTAGATAGCCTCCTATATGACGACAGTAGGTTTTTGCAGACGTCCAACGTAAAGCGATGTGATTGCCGATGTAAAATTTCCTAGAACCGATCCGCTGGAACGTTGGTTTATGTTTTTCCATGATTTTGGATAATGTGTTCTGTATGTAAAATAAATCGATTTCAAAACCTTTGTCCGCTTCTGCCTGCTGAATCATTCGATTTTCGAAGTTCTGAAAGAATGTGGTATGGCGATCCTGCTGTTCCTTTATCTGGTTTAGAATCGCCAGAAAGTCCTTTGGAACTATATTTAAATTTTCCAATTTCTTCTGGTTTTCCTGAATTACATCAGCTTGCATTTTTAGTTGTTGCCGCACCTTGTGATTGTGATCGTAGAGGGGAAAAAGTGCAGAATGAACAAAAGCCCCACACTGAGTTGGGGCATCCTTCACCACGCATACTGAACACGAATCCTGGGATCTGACCACTCCATACAGAATGAATGCAACGAAGGCATATAAAAAATGTGCCATTTTAAGAGTTTAGAGCTGCTAGAGTCGAATGTTTCCAATGAACTGACTATAGATTTATTTGCTGACTCTAAAAGAGCCTTCGCTAGCGTTGATAAGACATTTTTGAATACCCATTGTAGAGAGAGTATATAATGAAAAGATACTCTTGAAAATACCTACTATGTTAAATTTAATTTCTTAAATCTAGTGCTAATACTCCAAAATGCGAGATTCAATATTATAATGAATTTAATTGATCACGTATGACCAACACTTTAACCAATTTTGTAAAGGTTCTAGAAAAAAAACTTTTTTGAACAAACAAATTACGGAGTATTTTTCAGTCGAGGCATACTTAAAGTTTACATTTTTTATCAAATTCACTTTTTTTTTTAATTTTTTGTGGTATTACTGTGCTATACCAAGAGTAGGTGTTAGAAAGTCTTTGCTTGTCGGTTTTTATGGCAGTTCAAAGTGAAATTACTATTTTATCACAAGAGTTGGTTTTAGAATGGCTATTTTGATATTATGTTATCTTGTTCGCGCAACCTTAAATTTTTTTATTTTGGCATACAAAAACTCAAGTTTTGGACAATATTTTTATGAACTTTATCAAAATTGAGAATCAATCAGGGAAGGTCTCAGTTGCTTTTAGGTATTTCTGGGATTTTACTAAACTTACTGGAAAGTAGTTTAGGATAATAATAAAAATTAAATAAAAAAATCAGAAATGGTTTTTATATCTTTGAATATTTTAAAATGAAAAAAGCAAGTAAAGTTATGCAACTAATTTTGTTTAAAAAACTCAAAAATCTTTTCTTTTTTTTGTTCATACAACATTAAAACCTTTTTGGAATATATTATACAAAACGCCCCCCTTTGTCGGCTACCCCTGACTATTAACATTTTGTGGAACGCTTCGCTGGCGGGTTTTGTCTTGCCTTTTGGCATTAAACTTGTGCGTCAACGGCACAAGTTGCCTTCAAGTTTAGCTTTGATGATTCTGTTACCTGCAACTCCTGTCTTCGCCGACTTTTTCCGCATCCGTCGGGGTGTATCTTTTGTTGGCTTGGCTGGGTGTGTGCGAGTGGATCTGTGTGTCCCCAGCGTCTGGCAATTTGTCAAACAATGTGTCAAAATGCATTCCCAGGGCCTCTGCACACACCGAAAATGTCGTGTAAAATTAATTAAATCCAAGCCAAAGTCCCAAAACCCCAGATCCAAGTTGCAGCATTTCGAGTAGCGAACTTTGCGTGGCCCATTTCCCATTTCCCATTCGCCATTTCCCTTTTCCCAGCATTTCCCATTCCCCAGCATGCATTAAGTCCAATTAAATTGGGAAATCTTTCATGAGCTAATTAAAAAGGCTTTGCCGCAGTTGCGCTCCTGCCTTCGTTAGTGGAGCAAATCGCATCTAAAGTCGGCTAATGAGTTACGAAATGCATAAATCTAATCCGATTGCGAGAACGTGATCCCCAGCAACGTATGTCCAGTTGTCCAGTTGTCATTCTGTCCACTTCTCCATTTGTCCATCAGTCAGTAAGTCCGTTTCTTATCAGAGTGCCGGGCAAGCAATAAACGGCTTATCAGCTGAGCAGCAGCAGCTATAACTGCGATACAAAGTACACTGAAAAAAGAAAGCTGGGCTTAATAGATATTTCCATATCTGGAATCTTTTTGAAAAGTCAATCATATCTCTCTTGACATATCTTCTTCCTTATTTACTTTACAATATTACATTTTGATACTGTATGCATATGTTTTGTATTTTAACATTCATGAATATTAAAATCACACACTCTATATACTATGTACTAAACTATACTTTACTATCTTTTCAAATAGTCAATCATGTTTCCCAACTTTCCCTTTTTCTTAATTTCTTTTAATATTGCAAGCCCTAAATTCAATTACAATATTTGTTTATGCTTTCAGATTCTATATTGATACTGTTAACATATGTTTTTTAATTTAACACACAACAAAATTATACATTATGAAAAAAAAACAAAAAAATTATAAAAAACTAACTTTTTTCTGTGCAGCTACTGTAGCAACAACAATCACTCAATTCACACACATGGTCATGACCCACAAAAACAAACGAGAAATGTGCGAAAAATTGCAATAAAATAACGCCTCGACAAAAGAACAAAATACCATAAAAAAACATTAGCGAAGAGAAAGAATTTTAGTCAATTATAAATACGAATTGCTAATAAAATTATTGTTTTACAACTAATTGTTTGAAAATGGGAAATGTGCTAAAATGAAATAAATGTTGGGTTCTTTCTTACTTATATCTGACACAGAGCTCATAGAGTAAATCCCTATTGACTTTTACCAGCGATAACAGGCTATTTTTACATTTTTCTACTATATGTACATATATCCATTGTGCAAACATAAGAATATCACAATAAAGCTGACCAACACCAAAAGCAACAAGAAAAAATCACAAAATACGTACCATTCGAATCGTTACATCATCGTTTGCGCAATGGGAACTCCTCATCGCTTAAATTCCCCTCCTTAATGATTCATTCAAGCCGAGCTAAACATTTTATTGTCGCATTTATAAATGAGTAAATAGAATTGTATTTTTATGTATGCAAAGTCCGTTTATTCGCACTGCCCAAAGGTTGAAAAGAGAATGACAGAAGAGAAATGAGAGAGGTGGGCTTGATAAGCATTACAACACTGACAAAAATTGAAGCAAGTTTTTAGTAAATGTTTTTATCTATGATGTTTTATTAAAACTAAATGCAAACAATTTATATGTACTTGGCTTATTAATACATGTCAACTTAAACTAATGACATGTTTTGTTTTATATCTAGAAAACCTGTTATTTAAAAAAATTATATAGAGCAAAAAAATGTATAAATTTAAGTTAATTTTACTAATGAAATGAATTATTATTTTTTTAAATACTTATTTTTCATACTGCTTAAAAAGCAATAATTTGTTTTAAAGCTTTAGTGTTTAGTGGTCAAATTAAATTTTTTAAAGTAAGATTCTCTTAAAAAAGGTTTATCTAGAATGTGTTTGAAAATATTGAACAGAACAACGATAAATCATTTGTACGTCATGAACAAATATATATATTTATTTTGTACATTTTTTTCTCAGTGTAGACCGCGGATAAACCGCAGCAACAGAAGCCGGGCTATCGATGCTCAAAGCCCCCCACTGAAGCTTGTCCGGAAAAGCTCATAAAATCACAATTGCGATTGCCCGGGGACCAGTCGTCGCATCGTCGAGTTGGTGTTTGTGTTTGTGGGGCTCCACTGTTATACCGTATATCCGTGTGTGTTGTCGGTTGATTGTGCTGGACAATGGACAATGACTCATGGCGAGTGCCCCGATATCGTAGCCCCAAAATTAAGTCCCCAAATCCCGGCGATGCTAATGAGCCGTCCAATCCGAATTGCCTGACCGGAATGTGAGCTACAATTAAAGGATACCGAAATCTTTAATGGAGAGTGACTGGCACTGATCTTAAATCTATATATGTAGATACTTTGGGGTATAGATTTTGCCATTGTGTGTAGCACCAATTACTAAAAGCCTCAGGTACAGAACTAAAGTATTTTAATTACAGTTGAATTTTTTAAACGCTAAGTTTATTTTAATCTTGACTACAAATCTTTGAAAACAATTTAATGACAGAATCAAAAATTTCCATGAATTGAAAAATGTTGTTTTATATGGACTTACCTCTTTTTTTATAAATATTTTAAATTAGTTCTTAAGGCCTTTTAATTTGTTTAAGGTTATTATTGGTTACATTAGGTTCATGATAGTTTTTCTGCTAATGATAATATTAATATTTAAATTTGAAACAAACTTGCAGCCTTAGCGCTTGGTATTAGCGCAGGGTATTTTATAGTCGGCAAAGCCAACAACCCTTGCCAAAACCCGAAAAGTAATAAACAAACCCATAACACAGACGCTCAGCTGTTATCAGGTTCAGAGTTCTCCGGTACTCTCGCCGACTTTTCTCTCTCGGGGAGACAGAGACAGGTTCTCGGCTTTCGCCGGAGCTTCCACAGTCAGTATGCCATCGATTTTTCCCGCTGTTGCTTCGTGTTTTGCCAGCGTTTTTGTTGTCCTAGGACCGTGAGTCAGCTGATTTCCGCTCGGTTTTCTCTTCGGCGGACGATTTGTTGTGACACTTCATCTGACAGCTGCAGTTGCATTTTCAGCTTCTCCTGCAATTTGCAATTAAATAGTGAACTTAATAGTTTATTGTGTGTGCGCTGGCCATGAGCCAAAGAAAATGCAGAAATGCTTGGCGGAAACGGATATTGTCAGATCCCAAAACTAATCAGCGAAATTCCAAGTGAAACCCAAATGCGGAAATAGAAAACCTCACGAACCTGACGCGTTAGCACAAAAAAAAAACTCAGCAACACAATCAAAATAAATATAAGGAAAAAGAACGAGTGAAAGAGAGAAATTTAAGTTGCCGCGCCCCAAAAAGAAAAAAGAAAGAAAGGAAAGCAGATTTGTCCAACAAATTGCACCGGAAAAAAGAGAGGGAAAATCACTGGTAGTGCGCTCCCTTTTCAACTAGTGGGTGTGAGTTTTAGATGCGTAAGCTTTTGCCTTACGTTTATACGTACATGTATGTATATATATAACTACAAATGTATTTTTGTGGGCTTTACTTTCGCTTTCATTTCACACAAATTGCACAAAATTGCGCTTTTGACACAATTAGGAAAATGTGTTTCACGCGCTTTCCTTTGCAAAGGCCTCTTTTCACCACCCCACAACCACTCGTCCTCTCCTTACATTTCAAGTTTTTATTTTCTTTATAATTGAAAACTTATTTGTGTGAAGGACAACAAGCATTTAAGAGCTGGGAAAAGGTAGAATAAACTCTTCCAAATACCCTAACTTACTTGTTAAAGAAAATGATAATAATAAGTCATAACTTATTTGAAAGTTAAAAAATGTTAGGGGTAATTCAAATTTATTTTTTAAATTATAAAGCTAAGCTGTTTAATAAAAAGATTTTTGGAAACAAATCACTCTAAAAACTTTTTATTTTGTCAATTATAAAAATAATATTATTGTTTTCTTTATAAGTCTAATTTTTTTTGTTTTTTGTGTTTATTTTTTATGTTTAATAGGTTTGTTAAAATAATGGCAAAAAAACAAACAAAACAAGAACAAAAAACACAATTATATATAATACAAATATTAAATACTTAATTTAAAATTTGGTTTCTTTCAAAAATTGCTCAAAGAATATATATAACGATATTAAATAAAAATGCCATAAAAAAGGTGTTAAAATGCTTTTCCTCTCGCTGTTCATTATTCTAAAGCGGAAAGGACAACAAATAGGGCATAAGAAACTGAAAATGAGTCACGTGGGCGGACAACAGCAAGCAATTTATTGCCGCCAATTAATTTTAAACACCTCTCCCCTTCCTCGTCGAGTATTTCAATTAGTCCACCATTTTTCGAGGCCTAATAAAAACAAGGTGGCTGCTATAGCCCCGACTAATAAAAAATTTTCTAATTTGTTTTTATTGTGATTTATGAGAGAGCCGTGAGTTCTCCGAATATTTTGTCTACCTCAATTCCGCCCTTGAAATTTTCTCTCTCTGTAATTAACAAAAGTTGATAATTTGTATAGGAGTGCGAAATATTAAGTCATTGAACTTGATTGTTAGATAGCCCCAATATCAAGGTGATATAATCGGGTGTAAGATAGTCTACAAAAGTCAACAAAAGTGTTTCGGTTCAGTCAAAGATAAGAAAGTATCTCGGGTGGAAACGCCATAATTTTTTGGAATAAAGATAAGCAATAAGGGTAGAAGTAAACATATAATGAAAAAAAATAGGTCGTGCCATTTACGTATACGTATTTTTGTAATTTGTAAATGGAAAATTTGTCCTTTTCATTCAAATACAGTTTTTCACGTAACATTACATTTTTAATTGTTGACAGGAATTTTGCAAACCTTGAAATCGCAAAGTTTTGCACAAATGCAAATGGATTTCAGTAAAACTTTCCCCAAACCAACCACCTGACAGATGACTAACAAAGGTTGTCCCCCGTCCATTTGTCGGATAAACCAAAATCTCTCTTTAATGATCATTATCGGTTGGAAAATCGCTCGGCAAAACTAGCTAAAAAGTAAAAGTTCAATTTGCAGTTCAGGGGGTTAAACTGAGAAGATGAAGGGGAACAATGATTTCTCATTCAGATGCAGCTGCAATTTCGATAGCCTCGGGCTCTCGACTATTGACACACAGCAACAGTCAACCATCCTCATCAAAATGAACTTGCCTTTAGAAATCAAAGAACTAAAGAAGCAACTTTTTGTCAACCATCTCCGACCCCTTCTGCTCTACCTATTGCAACTAATTCATTTCATATTTCAGAAACATTTTCGCACACAAAAGTTTTTACCTCTCAAAAAGAAGAAAAAAATATTGAATAAAATAAGTTGTTTGTTTCATCGAATTTCAAATGCTCTCAAAATTAATCACTTTTGAACTATAGACTTTTAGAAAAATGTAATACATAATATATATAATATAATATTGCAAGCCACAATTTTATTTAAAATTCGCTTTTTACAATTTAACAGATTTTATTTAAATTATTCTGTTTCTTAAATCTTTGATTTCAGGGTCGCATTAATTACTTAAGATACATTTTTTTAACTATTCCAAGGGACTCCCCTCAAATTCTAGTTTCTTAAATCCTTTCATTATAAGCGAAAGAATTGTTAAATAATTTATAAAGTCGACATAAACGTATTTTAAAGATATACATATTTGCCTCTTCTGATTTTTCCTCTCAGCATTCATAGAGTAAGCCGGGGGTAAAAATGTATGAACGAAAAAATTGTTGAAAACCCGAAGCAAACAATGCGACTGATTGAAAAGTTTTTTAATTGATTTTTGTAAACTTCTTTTGCAGCACAACCACAACAACGGCAGCAGCAACATGGGGAATTCGCAAAATCGGTCGGCGAGCACCGATGAAAAGTCACCGCCAGGTGGCGCCAGTCTAGTGCGGATGGGAATAGGCGGGGGTGGTGTGGGCGTGGCCGGGGTCGGTGTGGGCGGAGCCCCGGCAGAGCGACGAAACAGCCGAGTTCGCGTCCTCAGCCGTTTGATGGGACAGAAACGCATTCGCGAAGCATTCCTGCACTCGCCGAAAACGGGATCGAGTTCAGAGGCCAATTTGGGGGGCGACGGAAGCGGCGATTGGACCGCAGCGGAAACGGAAGTGGAGCATGGACAATTGGATGCCAGCGCAGAACAAATAGATTTTCGTAAGTCAATTCCCAAGTTTCCCATAACAGTGCACAGAGAAAAATATTTCGATTGGTCAGAAATTAATAACAAATGTTTGTGGTTTTTATTAAATGTAATAAATCACTAAAAACATTTGAAAACTTAAATACTATTTATTTAGATTCAAAAAATCCAAAATTAAACAAATAAAATATTTAAAATATTTAAACAAATATATCTATAAAATGTAAATATTTTGGATAATAAATTTTCAAAAACAATTATTTAAATTAAACTTAACTATAATAAAATAAACAATTTCTTCAATTATATAACAAAGTTTTTTAATGGCAAAGAAATGTTATATTTATAAGATCAAAATGAAATATTTCTCTGTGCACTCAATTGTTGTTGTTATTTATATTGTTGATTCCTTGTTGAGAACTTTACTTTATTTGTTGTTGTAATTCTAGATGTTATGGTTGTTGTGCATCAAATTCAGTTTGTCAGCTTTTTTCCTGTCTTACAAAAAAAACACCCTTTTTTCTCCTTACATTTTTCAATATGCCAACTTTATTTTTTACCTCTATTGTTGCTGTGGATTTTCTCTACTTTTATTTTTTACTTTTTGTTAACGGACTTTTGTTTTAATATAGAACTCTTCAGCTTCAGACTACAGTGCGCCTCGGAGTTGTAAGGTCACTTGTCAACTAACAACAATTGACATGTGGTTAACAACCACGTTGGCCTCACTTTTTTTTGCCAATAGGAAACCCAATATGACAGCAATTAAATTTGTCACTGCTGTCTGGATACAATTGACATTTAAATGGATAATTGTTTCCAATCGCCATTTTCCACAATTGTCTTTATTATCAAATACATTTTCTCACAGCATTTAAATGATCCTTTAATTGATATCAGTTTATTAATTATATTTAAAACATGTTGATGTATATTTCCATATATATAAATTTGGTATCTAAAAAATACTTTTAAAATAATTAATAATTAAATTGTGCTAAGTCTGGTTTTCACAACGTTAATTGATTAATGAAATTTACAAAGAACTTATGTAGTTCTATTACTTTTAAATTAATGAAACGGACTGTCCATCAAACTCTCTTCAACTCGACTTTATTGCAATTTAAGCGGAGTTTAAATAAGAATTTTTCGGCAAACTTTTACAACAACAAAAAAGCGAACAAAAAATAAACTTTTCATTGAAGTTTTTTATGAAATTTTCTACACTTTTCCTCCGTACTCCCTTCATTTTTCTCCCCTTTTTCAACGAAGCTTGACTTTTGCCAATTTTTCAGCTCCTTACGTTGTTATATTTGTTATTGTTGTTGTTGTTGTGGCACCTTCGTCTGCTGCAAAAACCCTTCACTTCAACCATTTTCCCCTTCTTATATATCATCCCTCATCGAAGCCAAAAACTCTCAAGTTTTTCGGCTGCTTGTAACTTATAACTTATTGGCATTTTGCCTTGGCCAAATAATATTTTTTACTTAGTGTGCTCTTGTTTTTTTCTCTCTATCGTTTTTTTTGGCAAAGTGAAATCAAAAATTTATAGATTTTAGTTATTCATGTGAAATCTTTAAGATGCCCCCTTTAAAAATATTAAGCCAAGCACCATGCACACACACAAAAACAAAAACAGAAGCTCAAAGGCACGTTCGCCATCATAACTCAGCAACTGGGAAACTGAAAAGTGAAAAAATAAACAAAAAAAAACAGAAAAAACGGAAAACCCGACAAACACAAAACAGAACCCAAAATACTGGGCAAAGGAAGCCCAGAGACCCACTTCAAAAACTCACGACTGTCTATTAACAGCCATAAGAAAAGTGCGTCGAGTTCAAAAGCTGCAGGCGTCTCGTCCTACCCAAAAAAAAAAAAAAAAAAAAACAAAAGTTAAAAAAATCACTCAAAGCTGGAAATATAAATTTCGAAGAGGGGAAAAGGGTATCTACCAGCGAAACTGAACTTTTAATGCTCTTATTGGCAAATAGTTTTAATATATTAATATGAACAATTTCTGATTGTTATATTTGCTTTTCAATTTTTTTAACAAGGTTTTTAATTTCTGGCAATGGGTTTATGGCAAAAGAAAATTGGAGATAAGAATGTAGAAAATTAATACAAGCTTTGCTTTTTGTTTATGATATATATATATTTAACTAAGAAATTAGATAAATCTAACTTTACCACTTTCCGGCACTTATATATAAAACAACTTCTAAACAAAAATCTTGTTTTGTCTTTATGCAAGGTGTTTAAATACGAAACAAATATTTAATTTTTAAGCATACATGTTTAGTCATAGTAAATTACAAGCTTTATTAAATTTTCATCATACTTTAAACACACTTTGATTATATAATGTATTCAAATTGGAGGCAAAATAACTCGGCAATCGTTTTCCCGTGCATTTTTTGTTAGCAAGTTTTCTATTTGGGGCTTCTATTTTGACGCGGGCTTTTAAAAAGATGCGAAAAACGCGTTCAAGGCTGAGGCGCATATCAAAAAGCAATTCAGAGGCGAAAAGAGATGCTCCATCATGCCCACTGCCCCAATGTTAAACCACCTCCTCCTCCCTCCCTCGAATGCAAGAAGCTTTTTGCCATTGCAGCGGAGCAAAGCCTAAAATCAAATCAACGAAAAATCCTAAACGTGCCGCGTCGAGGCAAAAATGGGTGGATGTGGATACCGGGGGTTTCCAAAAGGGAGCTCTCCATATCAAAAATTCCCTTTCAGCCAAGAGAGATGATATAGCCATAGCGCACACCAAAAACCCCCGCGTGATTTTCCATTTCATTCACTCGCACGCAACCAGCTGAGTTTTGGGGCCTTTTTCAATGCATAAATTCATAATTCATGGGGCCAAGAAAGAAGCGCCCGAAGGAGGTGCGGAGTGGGGCCGGAAACTCCCTACAAATCGCATCAGGCTCAAGAAACAAGGCACTGCCAATCGGCCTTGCTCGACTGCAATGTGTACCCTATGAAAGCCTTAAGTTGTTTTTGAATATAAAATTGTATATTTAAAAATATTTAAATATACAAAAAAAGTCATAGCATTTTAACTTCAGATTTGACACAAGTTTTTCAACTATCAATCATGATTAGCAAGAACTTATATATAGTGAAAAAGTTGATAGAGTCTTCTATGCATCGAAAGGTAAAAACAATTTTTATTGTGTCTTAAAGTTTAAAAAGAAAATTGTTTTATTTATTTATTATTATGTTTACCTTTAGTATTGCTTATTTCGGTTAATAAAGTTTATGACAAACAACTGCATTTTACGGCAGAAAATTAACAAAACAATAAAACAACAGTTCAAAATGAATAAAATAAAGAAAAAATAGTGAGAGCTGAGATACACTATTAAACCTCTGAAAATGCACTTGTCTTTAGTTGCCTTTTGTTTATTTAAGACAATTTCAAATTAATTAAATCCCTGCTTATTTATATGGAAATAATTTTTTTATGGAATAAATACGACTGTTGGGCAAAATTTGATGAACAGCCCAAAATCGGGGCGCCCTTCCCCTGAACACACACACACACAAACACAAACTAAGCAAGCGATATCAAAATACCCCAGAGCAGATGGAAAACCATGGTAAAGCGAGGAAAATTTTGGGCCAAATGGGTGGTATTTTCAGTTTTGGTTATGGAGGTATTCTTTTTTGGGGGCTGGGAACTGCAGCCTTTGGCGGAGTTAAAGCAACGTGCTCAATTAAGCACCCACATCCACGCATATCCACCAACACCGACACAATAACACCCACACATCCATGGACGGGCCACATTATGGTGGAAAAGTTTTTTTTGGCACGGCACGTGGCTGGCCGCTAATATTTATGGCAATTAGTTTTAATAGTTTTGCTTGTACAGTTCCATGTTAAGTTGTAAACTCACTCATCCAGCATCCTTTTTTGCCTGTCTATGTGTGTAGTTTTAACAACTGCTTAATGTTGTTTACAATTTGTTTATGCCATTGCAATAATTAAGCATTCCGAATACTAAACATTTAAAGCCAAAATTGGTTTTGCGTACTTTTGGGAGCACTTATTGGAAACTGAGCGAGTTAATAAAAAATGAAAGCGATTTTAGGTCCAATGTTACAAGTAATTTAAATTGTGTAAAGAAAATTAATTTAAAACTAAACCAGACTTTATTATTCCAAAGTTTTTCTTACACACAATATACTAATTTTTAAAAAATGTTTTCCGCAGTAGCATTTTTCGGAATTGTCATTTTTTGGACACATTTTTCGAAAATCAAACAAATTTTAAAAAAATGCTTTAGGAACAGTGTTCTGTAAAAACCATGAGCCCTCGGTATAAAATAGGTTCGTGGTCTTAAAAAATTAATAAATGACTTGCCACTTAGGAACTTTTTTCATGCAGACAAAAAACAGAAATGCAGAAAATGATATTTTTAGCGAAACGTTTTGCATCACATAGCCACTTCAGTCATCCAAAAAATATTATTATAGTAGATATATTAAATGCACCAGTCCAAAAGTATGCAAAATAAATGTATTATTTGTCAAGCGCCTGCAAAACCACCACGATTAAAAAAGGCACTGCAAGTACAATTTGAAAATGAGGATCGCTGCAGCTTAAGCCAACTTTGCCAACTTTCGATTCAACGCACAAAGGCTATCGAAGACGATGAAGAATTACTGGGAATTCTATCAAAAGGGGAACAACAAGCTAACGAAATGAACCCGACCACCAAACAACCTCGAAAAAGACGCGTTGCACCGCAACCTCCACCGAAACCCCAACCGAAACCCAGAAAAATGCGGGTAGAAAAAGTCCTCAACGATGACCACTGTGCGTTCATTGAGCAGCTTTTTGCAGAAACAACTCAAGCAACAGCAACAGCTACAGTGGTTGCGGGTAAGCTCAGTGTCGGTCAAAAAAACATCTTCGATTTTTGCCTTCGACGTCGCTGTCTTGCCAGTGAGTAAAATTATTATTCGAAATGATGGGTATGCTAGGCTTGTGGAGGTGTTTGTCTAAAAGAGTGTTGTAAAAGCAAAATATTTTGCAAAAACAGTTAACAAAAAATATGACAATTATTCAACATGTTTTCTGAATACCTATTATTATTATTTTTTTTTTTTTTTTGAATGAATACATTTTTTTAAAGATATTCCAGGGTTGTTTTGTTTAATTAGTTTAACACTTCTCTTAATAAAAAATGATAATAATGTGCTTAGGAGGTCTTACAAGGTATTTCCAATCTCTCATAGTTTGTTAGAAATAAAGATGAATCAGTTGGTTTCTTTTTTACAGTTAACTGACTTATATTTTTTTAAAATATATTTTATATAGGAAATTTTAATGTCGATCATATCTCATATGATCTTTTTCACGTTTCTGCTCTGCTTTCGTTCCATGTAACTCGAGCTTAAGACCGTCAACAAAAAAATATATATAAATGGAAGTAAATACGTATATTTCTCTGGCGGTTCTCCAATTTGCGTTCTCTCTCTCCCTTTACGTTCACTCTTTCTCTCCAGTGCTCCCCGTTTCTCTCATTCGCTTTGTTGTGCGGCTTTTGACTTTCCAGTGGGCTTCCATTCCAAACCAGTTGGTTTGTTAGAAACGCGTTGAACTCGCTCCCGTGCAGATCGTTCCAAGCTGAAATTGTAAAACCTTTGAGAAAAACAGATAAATCCAAAAGAAAAACAAAGTACTGAAGGGCAAACGAAAGTGCGGTGTATGGAAAAGTGTGAAAAGTGACTGGGCTTGATGAAAAGTGCCTCTCAAATGACAAAATCAACAGTCTACAGGTGTTTATTTGGTGTTCTTTTTCTAGTTTTTTTTTGCTCTGGAATGGGGAGTACCTTTACCTTTGTTATCGTTGCTCATCTTTCCAGTTCGGCTTTTGTTTTGCTTTCAATTTGCCTTAATTGCCCATAGACAACAAATTAAACAATTTACTTTTTGAAAAAGAGAAGGCAACTGACGCCTACGCTTTTTTTTTTTGGTTGAAACCCCCATCCATCTCTTTTCTTCATAACCAAAACCAGTTTTTGTGTTCTGTTTTGTACGATTTTCTTTGTTTACCTTTTGGGGGATTTTCTCGAACCTTTTCCATTTTCATTTTCATTTGTCCCCCAGCAAACACACACCTTTTTTTATGTCCATGCTTTTCTTTCCATTTGACCATTTTCCATATAGATTTTCATAATTAGCGGCTTTCCAGTTTTGACGGCTCTCTCTGAGAAATTTCTCTCTTGTTTGCCTCTCTCTGTTTTATGGAACTCTTTCCAGTTCCAGTGGCGCCTTGTTTTTATTTACTTTTGTTTAATTATTATTTCTTACACATGTCGCATTTTTGTGAATGAGCCATCGCAGTCGTGGTTAATGGCATATAAATCATTCGGAGCCGCAGTTGGCAGACGGTTTTATTTAATTCCAAATATTTTAACAGCGAGCTCATCGCACTTTTGCGGCACTTTGGTGAAATCTATTCAGACTAAATCGAGAAGTCATTTTGTAAGCTAATTAATTAATTAATTTCTTTTAAATAATGTTTTTATTAAAAATGCGCACATGTAGTTGCTAAACTTAGTTTTGTTTAAATTACATTCCTTTTTTGTTATCCAATACAATCTTTCTCCTTCTCTATCTCGATTGTCTGTCTATCTCTCCTTTTATTCTTAACTTTTTGATCTGCTAACCGAAAATAAAAAGACGACGTGGTCAGTTTGGATTACACCGATTCGCTAGAGTATCACAATTGCAGCAGCGACGATTGCTGCTATGCATCCAATGATACCCTAACTCAGCATCGAAATCAGGAACTGCAGCAGCGACAGAGGCAACATCATCATCTCCATTTGCATCATCATCAACAGCAGAATCATACCCATCAAAACAATCGCCATTATGCCTACGATCGGAAATCTTTGTGCACAAGTTGTTCAAGCAATGATTCCCTATTCACAGATCCCGTCGACGAACTGATCATACCCAAGCAGTATTTGCATGCGACTAAAGCCGATGCAAATTCCAAACGTGATCGTCCACTGAGCGAAATAAGTGTGACTTCGGTGGACACGCTATCGCCGAATACCGCCAAAGCGGTTCTTGAGCTGCAGAAACGCTGCCGAGCGGATAAATTGGCCTGCCTGAGCTTAACTCAAGTCACCTACCTCAGCATAGCCAATGAGCTTCAGGAAGTCGAGGAGGCGGATCAGGCCATATTGCTCAACACCGACCTTTTGGTAGCACCCAATAGCCCGGCGGAATCTTCGCCGGACGAAGAACTCATGGCCCTGCAATTGGGCAAGAAGTTGGCCCAAGTTTTGGGCAGTGGCACGGGACCTTTGACCCCGGGAAATATGGAAAACAGCCCAGCAGGATCTGGTCCTCGCGTCGATTCGCCACTGGGAAACGGGGAACTCTTCAACGTTTCAAAGGCCAAAAAGGTCGAGCTACAGAATCTTTCATCGCGATTCACGGCCACCGTCAATCAAACACCGCCAGGTGTTCTAGCATCAACTCCAAGTGAAACAGGTGAGGATATATTTTAAAGATACCTAAAAGGGCAATCAAAATAGATTTGAAATTATTCAGCAATATTTAAAAACTATACCTTAAAAAGAAAATTTTTATTAAGAAAATAAGAAAGTTGGTCAAATACAAGTGCGGGTCTAATGGTCTAATAGAATGGTCAATAAATTCTAAAATTCTTAAATAAATATATTCCCTAATTAAATTGTTCGCATTATATTTAGTAATGATGAATACAAACATTTGTTTAATATTTAAATTGCGAAAAATCGTTTAATGAAGCGTAAATAATAAGTCAAACTAATTGCTTTTTATTTACCTATTATTAAAGCTTCTTATTTAGGGTGGGCGTTTTGCCCAAGGACATTAATTAATTTAATTGAAAAGTACAACCTATTCAGGCATATAAAAACCGTGTTTAACAAAAGAGGTAATTTTGAACTATTGATAAAATATGCACAATGTTTAAAGCAATTTAAATATATTCGATAGATTTCATCGTTTAGTAAAATCGAAAATTAAATTAGCAAACAAAGTTTGCATAAAGTAATTACTGATTAATGAACCAAAATTCAATTAATCTTTTTATGTCTTTCTGTAGTAAGCTGAAGAGGTTTTAAATATTGATTTAGAAATCCTGTGCGAAATTTAAAAAAAAAATTCGCTTCAACTCGTCCAAGATGCCAATCCACCAGTTTTTTGCCTTGTTTGTTGTGTCCCACTTGTAGCCATATGTGTGTCCTACAGAGTGGTCCTTCAGGCATAAAAAAAACGAAAAAAGAGACATGTCTAAAAGCTGTCCCTTTTTTTTGGGCGGATTGCGCCAATTTCGAAGGTAAACACGGGTCCGTCAGAAGTGCTTGTCAAACTGTAGTTTGAGTGTTGTTTTTTTTTTACTCTTTTAAAATTCAAGTGCCCGTCGTCCTCTTAGAAGGTGAGAGCCCAAAAACATACTTGAAAAATTCTATGCCTTAACACATAATGAAAACTCAAAACACCTTTCGATTTTTTGCAGAATTATTTATTTTACAAATTTAGGTAACAAGAAAAATACAACTTATTAAAAACTTTAAGAAAATAAGCTTTATCACTTTATTATTTACTTATACTCGTCACCCCTCAATAATAGATTTTTTTTTTATTTCACTATTGTTATTTAACTGTATTCTTCCACCCTTTACAATACAATTCACAAAACTTAGTAATTACTTAAAATATATATTTAGTTCCCTCATTTATAATTATCTTAGGAAACCCCCATAGAAAACCACAAGAAAAAGGGTGTTGCCCTCGGATTTTAATGCAAAGTTTTTTAATTAACTCATGTAGCAAAAGCCTTCCCATTTGCCCTTTTCCTTTGTTTTCCAAACTGATCCGATCAGCGGCGCTATTAAACACAGAAAAAAAGCGCGGGAAAAGTGTACAAAAAACAAGCAGGGACCCGAAAGTAATTATTGGCACATTTATGCAAGGACTCGTATTTCTCTGCCCGCCCGCCCCACATGATATTTTAAATATATAATTGCCCCCTGAGCCCCCCAGCATCAACCCCCTTGCCCCAGAAATTCACCTAATTGCGTTCGCCCAACTCGCTCAGCTCGATAAACAAAAAATAAACAAAAGCGAACATGGTTCGCTGCTTTTTTCCGGCCCTTTGGCTGGGGGTATATCACCAAGTACATACTTTGCCCCACCGAAAAAAAAAACATTTGTAAAAACTTAAAAATTGCAAACACGTCTTCATTGTTTACAAAATGTTGGCCGGAAACAGGCGCTTCGGGCTGAGCTTCAGTTTCCTTTTTCCTGACTTTGTTGATTCCCCATTGAGGCTCCGCAGGGAAGCAGCAAAAAAAGCGAAAGTTTAAATTTTAATTAAATCATGTTATATAGAATGATGCACGCGGGAGTTATCCGCCAAATCGAAGAGTGGGCAAAACGGGGCCCAAACCACTTGGGCACACAGTCAATGATGATGGGCTGCTATAAGCGCTCCACGGGGTCTACTCAATCGGAGTGGAGGGACCATCAAAATTTACTACCAGACTACCCGAAATCAGGGATCCAGGGAAAAATTTAATGCACTAGAAAAATTATATGTTTATTTTTCGCGGGCGACGGCAGGCACAATTTTTTACGGGCCTGTCGAACATGAATTTCGATTAAATGAATGTAAATCATTTAAAAATTTACATGACTTTGCTTTGGGCATCCTAGAGGTGAAGATTTATTAGCGAGCAAGAAATTGGATTTTTAAAATAATTTAAGATATTTAAAATTTGAAATTAAATTTAATTAAAATTTATAAATAATTTATTTAAAGCCCTATATATTTAAATATATCATTGGCAACCATAAGTCCTATAAATATTTAAATATTATTTTTCAATGTCAACAAATGTGAGTACTTTCATACAAATTTAAAAACGGTTTGCTAAAAGATTTATAATCTTAAAGAATTCATTGGTAAGAAACAGTTTAATAAAAATTTAAATTCAATTTTGTTCCATTTTTTTTTTATTCTCTAAAATATAAGTTTATCGTTTGCATGAATTCATTTTAAATACGATTCTATTGATATTTTCCGGCGGGTTTTCTGCACCCACCAACAGAAATGATAAATGATTGGCAAATGTTTGCCGAATATTGTAGAATTTAACCAATAATTATGGGAAGTGACTTATGCGCAGCCAGGAATACATTTATCTTCAATTTTTCACTTATTTAAGCACCGCAACGCACCGAATGCGGGAATTTCTATACAAATTTATCCAGCTAATGCCATTGCCTCGTCATTCATTCGTTCGTTTGCAGGAGCTGCAGGATTTTCAGGACTTTCGGCAGGAGCAGGAGCTGGAGCTTCTTCGTTGGAAACGCAATCAACTGTTATAATTTCGTTTAAATCATCTCAAACACCTGTGCAGTCTCAAACGAATTCTGCAGCAACAGCAGCAGCAACAGCAGCAGCAACAGCGGCGGCAGCAACTGAAAATGTTGAGGATGACACGGCACCGCTGCCACTCCCACCGCCGCCCCCCGGCTTCGGCACGCCCACCACGCCCCTTTTGACGAGCAATGTGCTCAAGAAGGTCGCCAGCTTCACGGTCGAGAAGTCTTCGGCGGGCAATAATAGCTCCAATCCGCCGATTTTGCCAACTGGCGATGAGACAACCCTCTTGGCTACTCCAAATTCTGCTTCTTTGCCATCCGAATTTGCGGGGGGCGTGGCAGGGGGCACTGCTGGAGCTGGGGGCGTGGCCGGGGGAGCTGGCGGTTCGCGACGCGGCTCATCTTATGTACCGGAAAAGTTAAGCTTCGCTGCATATGAAAAGTTCGAAGGTAAGTTTGCCCAAATGTTCGTGTTTAAATACTCTAAAGTGGAACCGGGTGTGTATGAAGCGAAACACCCTTTAATTGGAAAACATAATGTTTGGAAATGGCATGAGTTTATTTTGAAGGAGGACTTAACATGCCATTTTGTGTATATTAAATATCAGCAAACACACAATTCAATTAAAGAAAATTAAATTAAACTTATAATAAATTGGTATAATCAAATTGATCCCAAAAATATCATTTGGAACTTATAAATATTCAAGACAGAATAGACATTGTATATCAACAAAGTCAATGCTTTCAGTAGCAGATTAAAATAAATTATCTAGAAATTTAGTTGGAAAGGAAGAAGGAGAGCAGATATAAAAGATCGATAAAATTGACTTTTTACTCATGTTAAAATACTTTAATTTAGAAATGGCCTACAAGAATCCATTTAAATGATTTTTTTAAGCCGTTCTTATGACATGTTTCTACACTGAAACATATTTCAAAACCTGCTTATTAAGGTCCCAACAATAGTTGTAGTAAACACAGCCAAAATAACCATTAATGAACTGACAATCCCCGCAAGTCAAAACGCAAGACCCCTTTGTTCAGATTTTGTAATGCCATCTCTTTAGTTGGCATTTCTTTTCATTTCGCTCGTTGGAAATCTTTCAGAGTATTAACCCAGAGCTTTCGGTTGTAGAGCTGCACTTTATGCTTCAATCTGCGACTTCAGTGAAGCGATGCCAAAGGCAGGAATATCGAGAAGAAAAAATATATGTAGGGAAAGGGATTTTGGGCGGGAGAAATATAAAAGGTAACCTTTGCGATTTCTGCGCATTTACTGTTTGCCTTTTGTGTCGTTCCTCGGGAAACATTTAATTTTATTTCCCTTTCCGTTTTTCTTCCCTTTCAATTTACTTTTTTTTTGCTCAACCTGCTGCTCCACGTTTGATTGCGTTTGTTGTTTGCTTAAAGTTAACAATTAATTTGCCTGCTTCAGCTTCAGCTCGAGCACACTTTTCCCTTCTCCTGCAATTTTCCTCCTGGAAAATCAGTCAAGAAAAGGAAGCCAAATCAAGTTGAATGATTGCATAATTGGGAAATTTTGTATGTAAATAGTGAGGAGAGCAGAGGAGAGAGGGCAAAACTTGCCAGGTTAACATTTTCGGAAGTGTTTGAAGTGCACACGCATATATTTCAATATTCTATGTTCCAGTTGCCACCACCCCACTGCCCAAAAATGTGTGGCATACTTTCGGGGACAAGACTTTAAATTCGTCTCCCATAAGTGAAAATCTCTGGAATTTTCAGTTGCCTAGGAGCTGAAAAGGTGAGACTCCATGTGTCTGTACTGTACAGATTCGATAAGACAAATATTTTGATTAAAAGGGGTTCTCAAAAGCAATATTAAAACATTCAATAAAATTAGGACAAGGATTAAAAAATAATTTTTCTTTTATTAATTTTTTCTCATAATAGATACCACCACTTAATATTTATAAAGATAAACTAAATAAACTTCTTCTTAACTCAAAACACAAAAATATTAAAGCAGGCAATTAGGATTGGGATAAATAACTTATTCTTCTTTATTTTCTCTAAAAAAAACACATTCTTAATTTTTTCTCTATAAAACCAGTCAACAACCAAAATGGTTAAATAATGCTCACAAGAAATAATTGTAAGAGCAGTCTATAAACAATTAAGATTAGTACATACATTCTTCCTTTAATAACTTTTCTCTATACTAAACAACTGAGTGGAAAACCTCTTAATCTGCAATATTTTTTAAGTTCTTTCTTACCCTCTATTAATAACTTTTCTAAGAGCTCTTCATTACGAAAGTCTACTGTAAATATTAATATTCTTTGCTCGCATTGTTTTGAGTTGGAGTATTCTGTCTGCAAATTTCCGGCACTCGGGCGAAACTATTTTCAAAAATCCTCCTCTCACCCAAAAATGGCGAAGTGGAAAAGGCGGAAAACTTTCTCCTCACAAACGCATCGCGGGCATTTCGGAGGCGTAGTTTTTGACACATGCCACGCCCATCGGTGGGTGGTATGGCATTGGGGGGGTGGACCAAAAAGCGCTAATTGGTAAGCTCATCGTTGTCAGCCTTCCCGCTTTTCGGCACCCGGGGATCCTGATCCTCAGCCATCATCATCATCATCATCGTCATCATCATTGCCCGTTGTCGTCTGCTGCAAATTAATGCAAACAAACATTTTAACGCCTCGCTGGGCAAACAAGCGAAGAAGAAGAGAAGCTGGGGGTGGGTGGGGGGTGTATTTTTGGGGAAAAAGCGGAGGGGTGTTGGGAGGAGGCTTAGCTGGACACGCAATTTACTACACTGAGTGAAAACCGCAGACAGAAGTTTCAGAAATCACCAATTAGTTTTATAGCCAAAAAATTTTCGTGGCACTGCAGATTATTTATGTATTTAAATATAATTTCATGTTTCACAAAATATATTATATTAAATTTTATGAATAAATGTAATAGGTTTTCAAGTTTTACAAAATATAGTAGCAGGCTGGCCAAAAGATTTATTGGGAATTGCAGAATATTTATAAACATAGTTAAATTTAATTTCATATTCTAGAAAATATGTTAAATACCATTTCAGCTGTAATTATAGTGTGTGTAAATAAATTAAAAGTTATAAGAGTTAAAAAGAAAGAAGTATAAGAAATCGCAAACAAGTTTTATAGCCCAACAATGGATTTCATATTGCGGAAAATAATTGAGGAAGAAGATCATTTCAGCTCAATTGAAAATATAAATTTCGGTAGTTTATAAACATCCATTTTCTTAAAATTTAAATTTTGTAATATTAATCCAAAAGTATTTATTCCTATCTTGCAAATATTATTTTAAAATTAAAATAATTCACAATAGTTTTACTCCAAATTTTCTTACATATACTTATTTATTTTTACTTAAATATGTGAAGCAATATAAGTTTAAAACTAAACAAACTTGCGATTGGGCTTTCAAAATTAATTTTCCCTGTGTAACTCATGCCTTCCGCATTTTCGCCGTGGACGTCATTGTCTCTGAAGTGGCCATCAATTCTTCGTGGCTTTTCAGCAAGATGGGATGAGATGGGTGTGGGGGACTGGGAAAATTCGGGATGGACAGAGCACAACAACGGCAGAAAGCTGTTTGTCGCGACTTTTCATCACGGAACGTCCGGCAGCGCTTTTCGGAGCAAAAATCTGATTTATATGCCCGACAACATCACGTTCGCCAGCTTCGCTCGGATGAAGTGATTCTGGCCGGGATGAGGATGAGGATGAGGGCCACCATTTGGATGGCGGAGGCCAAGCACCAACTTCAAGGAGTTCTGACTGGACGACAATGTTTTGTTGGCCAAAGCGTAATGAAAGAATATTTTGGTTAAGGGGAAGTAGCTAGCCATAAAGCTTACTTCCTCTACTTTTAATACCTTGTAATCGCTGGTATATTGCTGTGAAAAATATCAAACAAAATAATAAAACTCATAAAATATACACATAAAGTAAGTGGCTTAATTAAAGAATTTTAGTTTCCATATTAAACTTAAAGCTATTAAAGCAAAGTTTCGTATTACATTTTTTAAATCAAGTTTTGAAGAATATGATATGCTTCAAATTCGATATATACTTGCAAATGGGATTTTCCTTTATATTGACGTTTTCTGTTTGCTTAGTTTGTTTTTAAATTTAGACCAAGTGTGTTGAGGTTTAGTGACTAAAGAATTGAAAGAATATTATTTAAATTCGTTATTTTTTACAATAGAATTTTCTTATGTTTATTGAAGTTTCTGCTTGGGTATTATCGGGGTCGTTTTAAAGTATTTCTCTGCTGTTTTGTCCCTCATTCCTTCATTTTGCGTTGTGCTTTGTGGTTTTCTGGCATCGTTTCGTTCTCATCCGTTTTGTTTGTCGGAGTGAAGAGAGCGAACGGCAATCTGCCGTTGATGAATGCAACGCATGCATGCGTGAGGCGCCAAAAACCGCTGCCACCCACCGCACCACCTACTTCTAAACCCCACTCATCCTCCATCACCCACCACCCACATCACACTGCAACAAAATGTCCGAGGTATAATTAAATACATCTCAGCGATTTCTAAAGCAATAAATTCTAAACAACGTTTAACACTTTGTTTTAGGGTGTGATCTAATTAAACATTTTCATCATAACTCTAACCACAATTTTTAAGGTTAGGGTTCTAACGAATTTTGTATCTCAGCTTATTGTCTTGCTAATGAGACAGCAAGAGTTTGTCTGTAATTAAAAAGTATAAAATTTAAATAATACATTGCTTAAAATTATTATTTTCTGTGTACGATTTGTTGCATTCGCCTGGCAAGCAGTTATGCAAATTTTGGTGTGCGTCGTCGGTGGCGCAGTTTTCATCAGGACCCGTTTGCCACATCGCCGCGATGACGCCAGCAATAAAGGCCAAGCGCAACAACAATAGGAAACAGCGACATTTGCAGCAGACAACAACAAACAGTAAAAGATACAAAGATACAGATACATATACCGTACCGCCTGCTGATGAGGCCACCGATGACCAGCTAAGCTGGCGCTTCCTTCCGGTCCAGTCCGCCCCCCCGAAGCGTGGCCATCATCATTGGTATCGAAAAGGCAATCCCTTGGCATCAACTTTGCATGTGCTGGGTGCTAATGATCTGTATAGATACTGTTGTTAAAGTAGAACAGTGGCAAATTATTTAAGAAATTAACTTGCTTCAAAACAAAAACTCTTTCATTAAATAAATCCAACTTTAAATAAGCAAATTGAGCGCCTAATGCAATTTAATTTTATTGATTTGCGTCACTCAATCAAACCGATTTAATCTATCGCTCTTCACATCAATTTCCCAGACGCTATCAGTATAGGTTTTACCACTATCTAAAGTCCCAAACACAGCAACACTTCACCTACGGCAAGGGTGGTTAAAAGATAAAGCAAATAAAAAACCAAAACAAACTTGTAGAAATTTAGAAAGGAGAGTAAACGTTTGAATCAGATGAATTTAAGTTGAAATGATTAAACCGAATAATGACGTACTTGGTCAATTGGTCTTGCTTTTTAACCTCTTCAATGGGTAAATTTAGACAAATGATTCAATGGAAGTGAGCGCTGAAAACCCTATCGAAGAAAAAACCGTGACTGATAAAGCAGGCGACCTTCTCAGGGCCAAATAATATTACTCTATTTGTGTCGCTTACTCTCTTAACAACCGCAGTCTTATCAGTACACAGAAACAAAATAGTTTGAATTTTGATAAGGTTTTTTTTAAAGTGTTTATGAAACGCATATGATTTTATACAACATTTTGTATATTTAATTATTAATTGATTTTTTTTACATCAGCGTATTATTTTTTGTTGTTCCAAAATTTAAATTCATATGATGAGCATTTATAAAATTTTAAAATGGAAATAAGTGCACTTATAATATATATATATAGTTTGAAATTAAAATAGAATTGGTTTCATTATTAAACATATTTTCTATGATTAAAGGTTTTAATAAGTTCCTCTAAGTGTGCAACAAGACGTTGTCATGTACCAGGCCTTGATAATGCTGATAAGTTTTGACACATTTCAATTTTTTTGCGCTAATCGAAAAAAACACTAGGCAGTTTAAGTTTGTTATTAGACGGAGAAAGTTCAACTAGGTCTGTCGATCTAGAAGCAAATATATATTCTATATATATGTCCAGTGCCCTGAGTAACTTTTGGTGCTCTCTGTTGGCCAAGCAGCCATCGAAGGAACTTGAATTTGGTTTGGAAAAGGAACCGCAGCCGTTGGCTTTGCAATGGAATTCTCAGGAGGATGTTGCCAATCTCCCACCACATTACCTACAGCTAATGTCATTGGCCGCCCGGCGGGCGCAGAAAACTCGATTTTCCCGGGGAAAAGCTGAGATGGAGGATTCCGAGGAGCCACCTGATGTCGCCGGAATTAGCCTACGCATCCAACGGATACGCGTTGACCTGCTCGAGCACTCTGACCCAAAACATCTGCTCCTGCTGCTCCTGCAAACTGTTTTCCACTCACACGCTGACAGCCAGCGTAAGTTTGTTTCTTTTCTCCACTTTTCTTGACCAAGAAAAAGTTTTTTTGCGCTTTTAGTTGGTTGGGAAAAAGTATCTCTGCTATAGGAATAAATAGGGAACTAAAAAAATAGACTTGATTTGGAAAACTAGCAAGTAATTTTGTATAAAATTGTTTGAGTATTAAATTCTAGGTTTATTTAGTAAGTCTTTTTTAAAACTAGGCCTTCAATAAATAACAATTGCAAAAGCTTTTCTTAATATTTAAGAATCAAATAGAATGTCAAAACTATAAATCTTTGACTTTACATTTGATCTTTAAATTAAATCTTTAAATCATGCAACAATCAATTGATAATTTGTATATTTTATTTCCCTTTTTCAAGATTTTTTTTGTAACAATGGCTTCTGGTCTATCTTATCAATCCATTAGTCATGCGACATTTAACCATATAGCTAAAATATAAAAGTCAAATGATTTAGTGGACTTATGGAACTTACACTTAAAAACTAGATTGATAATACCTATTGATTCATTCATAAACATTAGCTAGTATGTAAAATGATAAATGTAAGAAATAAAAGAGAACCATGTACAGGCGAATAATTATTTATACACAAGGGATTTTTTAGATGTGGCCTCATAAAATAAAACTATATTGATTATATAATTTTTTTTCATAGAGGACTATTTATCACATTACTGTACATTATACATCAACACATCAATAAACATATAAAATACACAGCTGTTTAACCTGGTTAAAGATTGTCCCTTAATTTAAAATGAAATATTGAATTTTATCTTCCAAGTTCAAATATAAAAAATTAATATTTTTACTCTAACAAATAAACTTTTGCCACCATTTTTGCAGAGCATATCTTGTGTGGCTCCATCGATTTGGATTTTTTACCGGCCAGCTTGTTGTCTGACTTTTACCCCAGAAAATTATTTATTCCACATTTTGTAGGTTTCCCGACTTGGGAGTTCCTTCAACCCCAGGCGTCTCTCACCCATAAATCTCTCCGCTTAGCGGCTACAAGTTTTCTTTTTTGTTTTTTTTTCGGCTTAGGGGTGAGAGAACGAGTGAATAAGTGGACCAGCTGTGATCAAAGTTATTTCATTCAGTTATAACTATTTTGTTCTTTTGCTTTTGCAGGTCAAATGCTGATGAAATGGCTAATCTCAACGATGCAGAGCAATCCGAAGAGTTTCTCCAACGACATTACCCCCGAATTATTCAGTTCTCTGGCCCTGCAATTCTGCAATAATCTCAAATATGTCGGCGTACTCAAGCAGATCTCCAATGAGCACTTGGATGGCGGATTTAGCGTGAGTTCAATGCACTTTTATTTCCCGGAAATTGGTCATCTCGATGCGGAACGGGGGTTCCTAACTGAAGTGTGAAGGGTGCCGACAGGGCGGATGTTGCCACGGCGTTGGCGGAAATGATGACAACGCGTTTGGCATGGACCGGGGTAAAATGGATGACAAATCGGGGCAAAGGGTTAGCGGCTCAAAGGGACGGCTAAACTAACTTTCAAGTCATTAGCGTTTCAGGAAAAACTATTGATAATGACTGTCGCCCCAGCACTGGACGGAAAGAATTCTGCAGTTAATTTCAACAAAATTCTTTTAAGACTAAAATTATGTAGTCTTTATATTTGTTCAAGGTTTATCAGAATTTGTTGCTAAAAAGTAAATTATAGAGACTTACTTTTTATTTTAAAATAGCAAAATCAGAAAAACAACTTAATTTAATTCCCATACTTAAGAAATATAAAAATAATCTTAAAGTAAGCTAATCAGTTGCTTTAAAATTTAAAAAATAGTCATCAGAATTTAGGTTGCTACAAATTTAAGAAATCAAATGAAGTTCATTTCAAATCAGAAAAAATTCTACCTTAAATTAAGTACTTTAGGTAAGGCATAGAAATCATTAATTTCAGTCAGTTATACGCTTAAGTTCATGCCTTATTTTGCCAGTGCTCTGATAGTCCTGATTTTACCCGAGGCCTGCGTTGTGCGCAAGGACCTTCAACTTATGGCCTCTCTGCATAATGTTACTCATACGCAGCGTTGTCCAACGCTCGCTCGTCGAAGTTACTGCGAAAAGTTGTACAAAACTGAACCGCAAAGTTGTGCCCGGAAATTAGCAATTCCATTGCAAAAAAAAAAAGAGTAAAAAATAAAATAAAAGGAATGACAGACCAAAGGGGCCAAGCCTCCACTGCACTTTCATTTAACCGAGCCACAGCGGTTGTCCATCTAACCCCTGCCACGCCCCCCTTACGCCCCCCCGCCTGGAAGTGTCAGAACTTGTTAAAACTTTACAGTCGGCAGCCGTCAACTATCAAAAGCCAAGTTCTCTTTGCCTGCATTAACAATTTTACGCTTTCGCTGTTGGTTTTGTTGTTTTGCTGCTTGCGAAATTATGAAACCAAAGCTGGACACTGGAAAAAAGTAATGTTTTGAAAGCTATATCGGGTAGAATTATGGGAAACTTAATTTTAGGTAATCTTCCCGACTTATTTATATATGCTAATTATATTTTATTATGAATAATAAATATAATAACAAGGTGTATTCTAAACAATAAAAGACAAGGTTTATCCACAAAATCGTAATTAGCTTAGGCTTTAATCTAGTTATGATTTAATGATTAACATTTGTGTTTCGCTTAGAATCAAAAGCTTAAAAAGTGATTTTGCATAGGTAATTTAAGAAAAATCAACAACTGTTTGAAGAAAGACTTTAATATATCTTTTCTTTTAATAATTTATATTTTTCTATGTGCATTATGAAAACCGAGCCCTTTAGTATCACCCTGCTGAGATGGCAGTTTCCTTTTAATCCAGTCATTCTTTGTCCAACTCTTTGGCAACCATCTGGCGATGGTCATCTTCATCTGCCGGGCCTAATGGACTCCATAATAGTTGGCTATATCATCGGGTATTAGCATTTAGCATTTAGCATTGCTCTTGACCAGAAAGCTAAATAAACAAGCTGTTTGTTGGGGAAGGCTTTAATTGCCCAGTAGCCAGTAAAAAAGGCCAAAGAAGCTGGTAGCTGGCCCCATTTCCATTTCGAGGGCTGTAAACCGAGACCCAAGTTAAGTGTTATTAGACAGGCGACAGCAGGAACAACAAAAATAACGACAACGACAACGACAGCAACAACCAAGAAACAACAAGCAAAAACCACCGCAAATAATGAAGCACTAGATATAGCCCTCAAATTAGTTTAGGCCAAAAGTTTTAGCCACAGCAGCTTAACCTCAAATCCCTGAGAGGCCCAAACACATGCATATATATATATATATATAGCCAAAATTGGCGGGGTGGGAAAAATCGGAGAAAGGGGCGGCAGACGACACCGTTAAGTGATTTTCTATGTGATGATACTTGAGCTCAAGATTATGATATCACGAATTTCTTCAACTGGCTGCCAAGTATAATATATATATATATATATATTTTGCTATATGTATGTAGTATGTCTGACGACGTCTCCGATGTCTCTGAAATTTGTTCGAACTTTTTGGGCAACAGGCCAGCACACAAGGGAGCGAAAGAGAGGGAAAGATTGTGTCAAAGGTTCGTTGTTCGACGTTGACTTTAGTTGCTGTTTTATTTGTACAGTATTTCATCGCTATGTAATCCTTAATTATATAGCGTTTGCTCTAAAATATAGTTATAAGCAAGTAGTTTTTTTGAATTATAGTAATATACAATGAATGGTTTTAAATTCTAATATGCAAAAAATAGTTTTAAATTATATAAATATACAAAGAATTGTTTTAATTTTTAGTTATATGTATGTATGTAATTTTATCCCTATGTGTCTCTACAAAAATGTTATTTCTTTAATTTTTGTTCTTTTTTTATTTATTGTCTTGTCCCAGAGATCACTTTACCCTCGTATTTTTTTTGTATGCCTTAGTCTTTTATATTTCTTCGTGTTTTTGTTGCTAGAGCTCATTGAAAGTTTGTGCGTTTTTATTACTCGCAGTCAAAAGTTTTGTCCTTTCCTATCTATCTTCACTGGTATTGTTCTTTAGGTTCTGCTGGAATAAATGAAACTTTGATGCAGAATTGAGCAAACTGGATTTGAATGTGCAATTTTAGTACCAAGAGTTTGTGTGTATATCGGTTTTGTTATTCTGCAAATGTGCGTGCGCGTGTTCGGTTGTTATTTAACTATATAAATTACATACATATATGGGTTGTATCAAGTGGCTGATGGGATTAGATTAAATGGAATTTGATGTCGTTGTTAATTAAGTGGGAATTGGGAAACAACCAAGCTGGAAAACTGGCTGAAATTGTGTTTTAATCACTTATTAAGTGGCGAACTTATTGTTATTGTTCTGTTCAATCTTTTTTGAACTCAATTTTGTTTTAGAGTTTATCAACTGTTCAGAGGCTTATTTATTTATCTAATTATTTATCCGTAAAGGTAAAATTGCTTGTTTCCACAAATTATTCTTAATATAACATAAACTAGAAAGTAAGACAACGCAAAATACCTAATAAATTGTTTTGGTCTTTACTTTTTAAATTCAAGCTAAAATTATTTTTTCTGTAACTAATATTTTTGTAAAATTAAGAAAAGTAGTCTTTCACTATTTCATTAAGTTTGTGTATAATATGACTTTGAAAACAAGCATTTTCTCAGCCAATTTTCACATTTTCCCTTTTTTCAAAATTGCACATTGCATTTTTCGGTCTCTTGCTCACCTTTATGTGGTCTCTTATGGTTTGGGGATTTTGGTTCTTTAGCTACGTTTTGTGGCTGCTTTATTTTTTTATTTGGTATATTGAGCAGTTGTGGGTTGCACTTCAGTTACTTGCGGGTTTCTTGGCTTACTTTGGTCGGCTCCGGTTCTTTAAAATGTGCAAACAACATGCAAATCGCTGGCAAACACTTGGCCACAACTGGTGTAAAGTGCGATAAACTTGACTCTGCCGCACCCTTTCCCTCCTTTCTCTGCTTTCTATGTGGAAAAACCCCTTGTGGGATTCTGTGTGTGTGTTCATCTACGAAATTAGTCATCGGGACAGGCTGTTGCACTTGATTTGCATTTGTCAAGTTCTCAGTTCTTTGAGTGATTAGCGTTTGTGTGTGTGTTTGTCTAACTTTATAGCTGTTTAAGCTCCATTTGTTCATGGCATAATTGAATTGCAATTTTAATAGCATTTGTCATCGTTGCGACTCTTGTTTGGGGCCCTTTTTTGGCCTAGTCTAAGATTATCTTATTAGGAAGTCTTTAAGTAGAGCATAAAATGTTAAAGTTGCTTAACTTAATCCAACTTTTTTGTTTACAAAAATTTTTATTTTTACGCTCTATTTTCCTTTAAGACTTGAAAACTAGCATACGGCAATTCCCACAGTGGGACTGAAAAGTCAACGGCAACATGCACTATCAAAATCAAAAGAGTTTTGCATGGCACAGAATAGACAAGAGTATTGCAGAAAATAAAAAGCAAACTTAGGCCAACTTAGGTGCTTTTAAGCTTTCTCGCTTGTCGCACACTGGAGACCACTTGCCATCCTTTTCTTGGTACTTCTGGCTGTCCTTTTCTTTTATTTTTCGTCCCCTTTGTACTGGCAATTAGAAGTAATTGGTTGCACAGAAGGGGTAATATTCTATTGCCTTTGATAATTTGATTGGTTTTAAATATATTTTTTAGGTTTTTATCAATTAACTTTCCCTTTTGGATAAATATATGAAAAAATAGTATTACTGCCTTAATTAATATAATTTTAAATTACTTTTCTAATGGGTTTTCTAATTATGGATTTAATATTGAGATATCATAAACAATTAACTTCTTAAGTAAGTATTAATAAAAATATTTTAGTTAAGAGCCAATAGGTATAAATTAAAATTAGCACTAAAACTTCCTTGATAAATACTGTTTTTATTTCTCCTTATAATATTTATCTTATGGTTTTTAAAACAAAGGGTTTTACAATTAAATGTCATAATAAGTTAACTTCTTAAGAGAACCAAAAGTGTTTAATTAATTATCTCGCTAACAGAAGGTCTCATGATTCGTTTATTAAATTGTATTGTTTGTTTATATTGATTAAACCACTTAATTCAAAACTATCATTTTTATTTTTAATCCTTAGCCCTATGAGATGTACCAATGGACGCACACGGAGCAGCCGACGACGTCGTTACCTTTGACCCCCGGAAAGCTGGACAAGAATGCGGCTTGGCCATTTACGAGCACTCCGTCCGGAACTCGAGTCCTGGAGTCGACTTCATTGGCTTCCTTGGGAGCAGGTGCGGTTGGGGGAGGAGGATTGGGATTGGCAGCCACTGCCACTGCATCCACATCGACGGATAGCCAGAAAACACTGCAGCAAATCCTCAAGAAGCGTCTGCTCAATTGCTCCACTTTGGCCGAAGTTCATGCGGTGGTAAATGAACTTTTGAGCAGTGTGGATGAGCCACCGCGTCGTCCTTCGAAAAGATGTGTGAATCTCACGGATCTATTGAATGCCAGTGAGCAGACAGTCTATGAATACAACAAGTCCGGTGTGGAGGGTGGTTCAAAGAGTTCCGTGGATGCGGAAACTCAAACGGCAGAATGCGAGGGTAGCTGCAAATGCGGGCAATCCTTTAGGGAAAATCGCAGGGAAAGTGAGGAAAATAAGGAGAATGCCAGTGTTCCTCCTCCACCTCCTCCTCCTCCGCCGCCCGCCCCTGCGCTCTGTGCCCCGCCCCCACCACCTCCACCACCGCCGCCCGCCTTTGGCACTGCCGCTCCGCCACCTCCTCCTCCGCCACCGCTCCCAGCGAACTGTGGCGCACCACCACCGCCGCCACCCCCTCCACCCAGCGGTGGAGCCGCCCCGCCCCCGCCGCCTCCGCCCACGCCCATCGAGGGAGGCGGGGCAATACCCCCTCCACCACCGCCCATGAGTGCTTCGCCCTCAAAGACCCCGATCTCGCCCGCTCCACTTCCCGATCCCGCCGAGGGAAATTGGTTCCATCGCACAAACAGTAAGTACACCGAAAATAAAGTTTAGCTTATTAGCAATACGAATTCAATTTTGATTAAGAATTTAACAAATAACTAATTATATTAAAAGAGGGCATGGTCGCATAAGTATATTGACTTCTACAAGAATTCAAAAGTCAGATATTTATTTTTAATATTCTATTTTTTTTTTATCAATGTATTCAGCTTAATAAGCTACATTTAAGTTCGCAATAACTTGTAGTAAGTAAAGACAAAAACGACCCCTTTCTATTTACAGCAATGCGCAAGAGCGCCGTTAACCCCCCGAAACCGATGCGTCCTTTATATTGGACACGGATCGTGACTAGCGCACCGCCCGTGCCACGCCCCCCATCCGTGGCCAATTCCACGGATAGTACGGAGAATAGTGGGAGTTCGCCGGATGAGCCTCCTGTTGCCGCCGGCGGAGAAGCCCCGCCCCCTGCGCCGCCCACCAAGGAAATCTGGACGGAGATTGAGGAGACGCCACTCGACAACATCGATGAGTTCACGGAGCTGTTCTCCCGCCAAGCCATGGCTCCGGTCAGCAAACCCAAGGAGCTGAAGGTCAAGAGGGCCAAGTCCATCAAGGTGCTCGATCCCGAGCGATCCCGCAATGTGGGCATTATCTGGAGAAGTTTGCATGTGCCGTCCAGCGAGATCGAGCATGCTATATACCATATAGACACATCGGTTGTCAGCTTGGAGGCCCTGCAGCACATGAGTAATATTCGGGCGACAGAGGACGAATTGCAGAGGATCAAGGAGGCAGCCGGTGGCGACATCCCCCTCGATCATCCCGAGCAGTTTCTGCTGGATATATCCCTGATTTCCATGGCCAGCGAAAGGATCTCCTGCATTGTCTTTCAGGCGGAATTCGAGGAGAGTGTAACGCTGTTAATGCGAAAACTGGAGACACTGGCGCAGCTCTCACAGCAATTGATCGAAAGCGAGGATCTCAAGCTGGTATTCTCCATTATCCTCACACTGGGCAACTACATGAATGGCGGCAATCGACAGCGCGGCCAGGCCGATGGCTTCAATCTCGACATTTTGGGCAAACTCAAGGATGTCAAGTCCAAGGAATCGCACACCACCTTGCTCCACTTCATCGTGCGCACCTACATTGCGCACCGGCGGAAGGAGGGAGTGCATCCCCTGGAGATCCGACTGCCCATTCCCGAACCAGCCGATGTGGAGAGAGCCGCCCAAATGGACTTCGAGGAGGTGCAGCAGCAGATCTTCGATCTCAACAAGAAGTTCTTGGGTGAGTTGGAAAACCTACATTTAGCTAAGATTTAATTAAAAGACATATGTGTATTGTTATGGAAACTTATAGTAGGTGAGTAGGTGAGGAAGATTAATACTTAATTGATTTAATATCAGATAATAATAATAATAGTATAAATTGAAAGTTTAAAGTTTAAATTTTAATATTTGGTTGATTGATTATATTTATTAATATAACTATTAAACAAATAAATTATAACTAAATGTTATGACCTTACCTAAAAACATGACTTTAGTACCTCTTATTTTAAATTCAATTCAATCTTCTGAACTTAGATAATAAATCTATAAAATATCGCTCTTTTTAGGTTGCAAAAGAACCACGGCCAAAGTTTTGAACGCCTCCCGTCCTGAAATCCTGGAGCCCTTTAAGTCCAAAATGGAGGAGTTCATAGAGGGAGCGGACAAATCGATGGCCAAGCTCCACCAATCGCTCGAGGAGTGTCGCGAGCTGTTTCTGGAGACGATGAGGTTCTATCACTTTTCACCCAAGGCCTGCACCTTAACTTTGGCCCAGTGTACACCCGATCAATTCTTCGAGTACTGGACAAATTTCACCAACGATTTCAAGGATATTTGGAAGAAGGAGATCACCAGTCTTTTGAATGAATTGTAAGATTATTAAACCTAACTCTTGAAAAAGTTATTAATGATTTGTCATTTTCTCAGAATGAAGAAATCGAAGCAGGCCCAAATCGAGTCCCGTCGCAACGTCTCCACCAAAGTGGAAAAGTCCGGACGAATTTCTCTAAAGGAACGCATGCTATTACGGCGCAGCAAAAACTAGTTAGATAGCTCTAAAAATCGCGATAATATATATTTTTTATTGCTATTTGCTTTATATTACACTATTGCTAAGAAAATTTCTCGTTACATGGATTTATTCTCCACTTATTGTTAAGTTATAAAATTGTATAAAAACTTTAAACGCAGGCGTGGCTCTTAAAATAAAATGTCCTCTTGCTATTGTGATCATAAATCACTGAAGTTTTTTAAATAAATAGCAAACACGGATATCTGCAAGAAAAGTTATGGCCTTAGAAGTACTGGTCTTAGGTCACTTTTTTACTAATTTTAAAGGGATAAAATGAACATTAAAAATTTCCAGGAAACCAATCGAAATTTCAAACCCAAATTTAAATTCAAATTTGCTTGAATACCTGATTTTTAATATAGATTCAAATATGTAACTTTCTATGCTATTTCGTATTTAATGAGTTTAAACCTCGCGCCTTTTTTTGTAACCCTTTGCAGCACTATTTTCAAACGGTATTAAGTGAGTGGTATATTTTTGGTAGAATTCCTTGTCTTAATATAAAAATGGTATAAAACGAATATTATACCAACGGTCACACTGAAAACTAGTAAACAAATGTTGACAATTTCGTTTATTTGCCATTTCGAGTTATAAATTAAATATCGAGAGGCCACAAAATGCACCGATCCCATCCGAGTATAAGTCGTCGCAAACATCTGATGAACGAGATGATGAAGGATGACTATGAACTGCCTACAGAAAATCAGCAAATCGCAAGGGTCATCAGCAGTCGCGGAAACAATCTCCACGAGGTGGAAACCCCGAAAGTCGAGGAAAACTTCCTTGGTGAGTATATCATACCCCGACATAAAATACATATATCATAGCTCTCTTAGAAAAATCGGAAAAAATGAAATAAATCAAAGCTATATTGTTGTTACAATATATTCTAGAATATCGGATAACAATATCATATAGCTGCCTTAGGAATAATCTAAAAATGCATCAGTTTTTTTGTTATAGATTGGAAACGATCATTTTGTTTAATCATCGGTTTATTTATTCCTATTCCAGTTTCGATGCCCAATAAATTTCGCAAGAGCATGTGGGTGAAAAGGGGCGATTTCCTGCTAATCGAACCAATTGAAGAGGGCGACAAGGTCAAGGCCGAGATCTGTAAAATACTCACCCCGGAGCATATCAAGGAATACACCAAAGCTGGCATTTGGCCGGATAAGTTCGCAAAGAAACCAGCGCTCGAGGAATCATCCAACAAAAATCAAGAGGATTCCGACTTCGAGGATGATCTCCTGCCCAACACAAATCGTCCTGTAAATCAGGAATCCTCCGACGAAGAGGAAGATGATGAAACATCCAGCGATGAAGACTGAAATTCCCTTTTTCACGTAAAAAATTACACTATATAATTAAGATTTTCTTAAAACTTGTTAAAAGCTGTGTCAAGGATTAAACAAAAATTGTTGCTTATTGCTGCTGCTAATCTAGGTTGGTTTTTAAATTTTTAAAAAATTTGTATGTTAAAATTGATAACTTCTATAATGCTCTAAATGTAAATAAATTAAAAATATTCTGTATAACATTTTACTCATTACTCCAATGTTTTTTTCAAAACAAAGACTTTTAAATCACCCGAACATTAATGCCCAAAACCAAACTTGTTTTGTGTTTTACAAAAATTTGTATTTACGATTTGTTTTTAGTTTTTCCACCATCAACTACATCATCTCAAAAATGTAACAAAAAATTGTGTGTTGTGACTGTTGCTGCTACTTCTATGTTGAACGTAACCGATCTAAAAATTGTTGCAAAAGCTACACAAAAAGCCTACACGAGGAATATTAATAAGCGCTGAGATCGATCCTTAAAGCGTTTACACTCCTCATTTTTATTAACTGGGATTTTTCATGCTTCCTTTTCGAGATGAGTCGCGTCGTCGTCGTGCGTCTCCTTGAGATCGACATCGTTGAGCTCATCGATTTTGGGGCATGCCAGCGATTCGTGCTTCGACTCCAGGGCCAGAGTCGATGGCCTGGTCTTGGTGAAGGGAAAATTGGTGAGATCCTCGATCTGCGGCGTGTGCACGGCTATCAGGTCCGTCTGCGTGGAGCTGCAGTCGATGATCTCCGCCTGCTTCTTGATGGCATCCTGCGGCAGATTGCACACCATGGTCAGGCAATTGACAATGGTCCCAATCGAACTCTGCAGCATTTGAACCTGATCGGTGAGCATGGTGCATCGCTTGGCCAGATCATTGACGACAGCCGCCGAGTTCTGATCGAGACTGACGTGGCCAGAACCGCCTCCTCCTCCTCCTCCGCCGTTGGAGTCCTCACCCTCTCCGACTGTTGCGGCCACTGGGAGTCCCTTGGGATCCACCTCCATTGTGGACACCTTCTTCCACAGCGCATTGATGGCCTGCATCTGCAACTGCTGGATCTTGCGCTCGTTCTCTAGCTGGGCTTTGGTTAGCATCATGTCCTTGCCAAGTTGCCTGGGGAATAAGAATAAGAGGCAATTAGAAAACTGTGATACGTTATCCTTGAGTTAGGAACAAATTTGTATTGGTTTTTAAAAGTTTAAAGTCAGCTTGGCACACTTTTATTCAATTGCAATGTAAAAACGCGAATTCTTTAGGATCCAAGTTTTTTCAATACCTGTTCTTCATTTTAAAAGCAACTACACAAACACTTAGGTACAGCACAAACACGAATTCTTTAAGGTACATCTGTTTCATTACTTATTTTTCCATTTTAAAATGTAAAAATAAATAAAATAAAAGTCAGGAGAACTGGCTTTCAAAAAACCCTACTGTGGATTAGCTCAAATAAAGCTTTAGTTTGTTAAAAAAAAATCTTAAAGACCAGCAATACAACTTTGAAAAGCACCTACTCGATATATTCCTGCGTGCGTTTTCGCTGCAGTCGCTCGGCTATGTCCTTGTTGGTCTTCTTGCGCGTATGATAGCCCCGCCACATTTTCTGGATGGTGACGGCCGACGACTCCGTCACGTGCTCGATCAAGCGATCCTCGCAGTTGAGGCTGTTATCCACCTGCTGCTTCATCGACTGCTCCTGATGCATCTGCTGCTGCTTTTGGGCAGCCATCTTCCTGATGGCCCGCAGCTTCTCGATGTTGATCTGCTCGCCATCGTCGTCGGAGCAAGTGCTGAAGCCACCGGCATCCACCTGCTGTAGCTTCTCCTGCTGCTGATGCATTTTGTCCCCGCCCGACTTGGTGGCCATCCTGCGCGGACTGCTCGTGGGACTCTGGTTCCTCTTCAGCTGCGGACTTCGCACCCTCGGCAAATTCAGTTTGTTGTCTGTGGAGTACAAAATCACTTATAAGCTGGCAAGTCTCAATCTCAGACTATGTTCCATTGGCCACCTTTGTTCTTGTTGACCTTGGTCTTGTGCAGCTGCGAGTTGAGAGCGGTAACCGTCACTCTTTGAGCGACGGCGGCGGGACAGACATCCGGACTCATCAGGGTCTCCGGCACTGGCACCATTTTCGAGGCAGCCGCCAATGGACCTCCCGACGGAGTTTGACTGATGAACGTTTGATCTGCGAAGTGGTTAAAGGATTAAAGTAAGGATTAGTAAAAGTATTTAAAGGGGTAAAACGCAACTTGTTACTTTGAAATTATTCAAAATAAAGTAGTTTTTCTATCTAATAGCTTAAAGTTCAAGTCCATTTTTTTAAAAACATGAGCAGTGATTGAAAGGAAACAAGACTGTTAAGTGTTTTGATTTTAAATGGGGTTTTTTTTTTCAAAATGGCATTATTAAATCTATAACAAAAATAATTTGAAAACTAAATCCAAACCAATTTTTTGTTCATTTGACAATATTTTTCTTTAATCATTAGTTTTTTGGCCAACTATTTTGTCAAAAATGCCTTATTTTAAATCATTCGATTAAAGACTAGTTTATAGCGTTATTTAACTAAATCTGTTGAAATTTGCTGTTTGAAATGAATATTATTATTCCCAAAAATGTACTTACAACTGTGTGTGACCCCTTAAGTGCCTTACCATTGTATGGATTTGGTGTTATATTCCTCGGCGTGGACTCCGTGGAGTTGTAGGTCTTGGTGGTCACACTGCTGGACATTCCGCTGCCGGCCAGCGAGTAGCCCTCGCCATCGTTTTTGATGTTCTCGATCAGCGAAATGCTCATCTGCAGCGAATGATTTGCCGATCCGTTGTCGCTGACGATGCTGTTGTTGCTGCTGCTGTTGCCGTGATAGCTATTGGCCATGGATTCCGGCGATCCCTGGCGGCCACTCAAACGGGAGACTACAAAATAAGGGATAAGATATATTTACCAAAAAAATATATAAATAATAAATAATTGACAAACATACATCGTGGCGACTGAATGCGACTCGTGGGCTTTTTGCGATGGGATGAGGGCGAAGTGCTGGCCGAGCTGTTGGCATTATCCAAGATCTCCTCCTGCAATTGCCGCTGGTGGTGCTGCGCCTTACTCAGGATCAAGCGCAGCTTCCTGTCGTTCTCATTCTCGAGCGCTTTTCCCACCAGCGGACACATGGAGCTCAGGTATTTGGCCAGGCCCGTCTGTTCGCCCACTCGGAACTGGCGACCACGCCCCTGGCTATAGAGCCACTCCGCCTTCAGACTCTCGATTGGATCCACCACATAGCCATCGATGTACTTCAGACTCATGCACCAGTTCAAGACAAAGGGGCGGTAGTCAAAGCCACTGGAAAAAGGATATTTATAAGAATAATTGTTGTTTAAATTTGTATAAATATTTAATCTGCTTTAGAAACTACAATTTTGTTTTCCTATCAAATATATTAGTTTTTTTATATAGTATTTTTTCTCTTAAGGCCTAAAGCTCCTAAACTTTTCTTCTAATAATTATATATAATTTGAAAAACAATTTAATTTATTAAAAATAAGTTATAAGATAAAAATAACTAAAAATTGTATTTTTCATTAAAAGATATTAGATATTATTAAACAAATGAAACAATGTACAGCATTGGTTTATGTCTTTTGAAGCTCTTACTGTTTCAAACATCTAGATTACCCTTTTAAAGCAATTAAATTAATATTACAATTTCATTTTTTTAAATTAGTTTTTAAGGAAATGTAAGAATGAAATAGTTTTAAAAAAAACTTTAGGCATATTGATTCACAACTTTTTAAGCTAAAGGGTGCCCCTGTTTTGAAAATGTTGTTTCAGAACCTAAAGCTTCTATACTCTTCTTCTAAATAAGTTAATCTTTTTGGCGCATGTTTTCGACATGTTATCAGATATTCAAATCCATAAGCAAACTTACTCCAAGCTGTTGGTCATGTTCACACAGGGATTATCCGTGATCGAGATGCTCAGTAGATTGCTGAGATGGGAAAGCGTGCAGATCTCGTTGAGATCGTTGATGCCATTCTTGGCCAGCGTTAGGGTTTCCAGAGAGGTGGGCAAGTACTTGTCGCACAGTCTGAGATGTGTCAACCGATTTCCGTGCAGATAGAGCTCCTTGAGGTTGCGCAAAAAGGACATATCCGAAATGCTGCAGATGCTGTTCTCGGCCAGATTGAGTGATTCCAGATTGACATTCGTGTTGAGGTGCTCGATGGTCTTGATGTTGTTCCCCTCCAGATTCAATACGCGTAGGTGGTTGCAATCTTTAAGTCCCTCGATGGATAGGATGCCATTGAAGGAGAGGTTCAGTTCGCGGAGGCAGTGCAGCCTGCAGACGCCATACATCCGCAGCAATTGGTTTTTGGCCAAGGATAGCTTTTGTCCAGAATCTAAATTAGTTATGGGTTCTAGTTTGGAGGCAAAGTATGCTAGTCACCGTTTCTATCTTGAGGTACGAGTCTATGTTGTCGATCTTCTGCAGCTCATTCTCATCGAGGATGAGCTGCCGAATGCTGTGTGCATCGTCCTGTTTGGGCACCTTCTTCAGCTTCTTCTTGGATAAATTCAGGATCTGCTTCTCCTCGCCACTTTCGTCGCCTGTTTGGAATGGTTAAATGTTTTATAAATAATAAAATTTTAAAACAAGACATCTAAATTTTAAGAAAATAAATACAAAAATACATATTTAGTTTAATTTTTGGATTGTTCCTAAAAGCAGAAAACAAAACAAAACATGATGCATCCTAGTTATATTTAGTTTAAAAGTTTATGAAACTTATTTTAATACTAGCTTTGATTTAAATGATAAAAATTCAAACATTATATGTATTTTATTTATAAGCCTATTTATCTTTATTTTCTATGAAAATAAACAATAATTTCTATGAAAAAAAACATAAACATTTTTTTTTTTTTAAACTGTCTCTGAATTAATGAAAATTAAACCTCGATTTGTAAGGAAAGTAATCGCATGAGATAGGTTCCACTGTATATACAATGTAACAAAATTGATGACTTCATCGAGGGGGGTGGACTTTTCAGGAGGATGAAGATGAGGTTAAGGCGCAGGTGCGTCCTTTTCTGCCAGGACCCTTAACCCCCTTCATCCCCCTGAGCCAAAACCACCCCACTCCCCAAAAGTAGACTGCAAATTCCCATACTGTCTCCGCAAAATGCTTTCCCATACAAACAAAACCACAAACTTGAATAGAATACCATTATTTTAAATAATTATTTCGATTCTTACCACTCATTTTGCTGTTTTGCGGTCCAAGTTCCACTACTTCTTACCGCACCAATGTTTTTTTAATATTTTAACTAGCAACTTAGTGAAAAATCAATGACTTCTTTTTTCTCGTGCATCCAATTGTATCAGATCCAATTCTTGTATTATCCAGCCAACATGTTCCGATCATATTTAATAATATTATTTAGCGTGGTAAAGATGTACATTGTATTATAATTAACATACAATACAATACATTTTAATTTAACTTGTTTTGTTTTGATTTCTTAAATTTAAAACACAGTGTAAGAAAGTAGAGATGGAAAAACCTCGATAGCCACATCGATGTCATCGATGTTTTCAAATTATCGGTCATATCGATGTTTGCCGGAAATCGTGAACTTCGTCCGTCTCTAACGAGTTTTTAAAATGGTCATACCGAAAAATATCAATTAATATTACTTAATTACTTAATTACTTTTAATTATACCATAATTATATTTATATATCAATATTAATTAAATATAAAATTATTAATTTTTTGTTTTCTGTTTTGAAAAATAATTGATTGTTTATTTTACTTGTGCCTATTCAAATATATTATTTTAATATTTATTTCAATTTAATTATTGCTTTTCAAAACTGTACCTATGTAAAAAAAAATGTTTGAAAGAAAGTATTTTTAAGCGGAATAAAAATAGGTTATTTTACTGAAAACCTCTTTTTAGTAACAAATTAAAATTTCAAAAAAATCAATTTAAAGTTACAAACTAAGGCTGGTTTAAGGGGAAAATTGGACTTAAGCCACAAGACTTTAAACGTACATATACCAAATCGAAATCGGATGCCTAGCAGAAAAGGTATGGACCTAGAACTGCAGGTTTTTTGTCACTTTTCTGCAATGACGATTTTTTCGGCTTTTGGTGATTGTTTGAAATGATATATTTTGGAAAATAATTTCCTAAAAATAACAACTTAATATTTCAAAAAAAAAATTTAAATGCAGATTCTTAAAGACTAAAACCACAAAGCATTAAAGATATACCTCATCGAAATCGGATTCCGGAAAGAAAAGTTATGGATTTAGAACTGCAGGTTTTTGGTCACTTTTCGGCAAAGTCGATTTTTTCACAAATTAAGAAAGGGGTTACATCATAAAAATTGCAAAAATTCGAACCGAAATTACAAGCCAAGTTTTAAACGCAGTTTTCTGGAGCACTAAGCCACAAGACTTTTAAGACATGACACTTCGAAATCTGATGCTTGAAAGAAAAGTTAAAGAATTAACTGTGTAGGTTTTGGTCACTTTTCTGGAATTCTATTTTTGGGAAATTGATTAAGGAGTCTTATTGTAAAAACAACCACTCAAAATTTCAACACAAAATTTATATGCAGAGTTTTAGAGACCTAAGCTACAAAACTTTTAAGATACAACACTTAGAAATCGGATGCCGGAAAGAAAAGTTATGGATTTAAAACTGCAGGTTTTTGGTCACTTTTCTGCAAAGTCGATTTTTTTGGAAATTAAGAAAGGGGTTACATCATAAAAATTGCTGAAAATCGACCCGAAATTACAAACCAAGCTTTAAACGCAGATTTTTAGAGCACTTAGTCACAAGAGTTTAAAGATACACCACTTCGAGCTCGGATTCTTAAAAGAAAAGTTATAGATTTAGAACTGAAGGTTTTTGGTGATTTTTTGGAAGGATATTTTTTAGAAATTATTTAAGTGTTTATATCGTAAAAATAACAACTCAATATTTCAAAACAAAATTTAAATGCAGATTCTTAGAGATTAAAGCCACAAGTCATTAAAGATATACCTCCTCGAAATCGGATGCCGGAAAGAAAAGATATGGATTTAAAAATGCGAATTAATTGGACAACAACCGTAACCAACACAATTTATTTCTTACACAACCGGGAACAGGCCACTTTTGTAAATTTTGTTTTTCTTTTGTATTAGGCAAGTTAACTCATATAATGGTGTTAAAAAATTATCTTTCGAACCTAAATTTTCGTTGCCACCTATACTTTAAAACTTTATAATATATCTTTTAACATTCCCTTTTATGCGTATAATAAAAAATCATTTGATGTTTGATAAGACACTTTATGTTCGTAATACCAAGTCGAAAAACTAAAATTTTGATTCAAATTAAGTTTTCTAGACCAATAGAACTCTTTATTTTGATAAATGAGTGCAAAAAGGTTGAAAGCTTTCTCACGACACAAAACAATGTTTAAATTTTGATTATGTTCAGGTTTATTAAACATGAAAGCTATTACATGCACTTGGCCTCACACTGTTCTTTAGTACTAAACCTATTTGCATTGCCACCGCATCCACCATAAATAAATTTCTCACACATATTAGTAGACGAAAAGTATGTGAACGATGGCACATATGCTTTGCAAGCCATTTTTCCAAAACCATCGGCAGCTGGCTTCAGTCCGCAAACAGCTGAAAAAAGCAGACATTTTATTTAGCCAAAGAAAGGGTTAATAGGATTTATTTACGCTCTTTTAATCCGGTAACAAGGTCACCTAGGACCAAGATTAAAAATATGGAGACAACTGCCCTTATTTGGTACATATTTCAGTCACCAAGATTTCAACTTTACTCTCCAACGGCTTCGAAATAAGTGAAGAGCTATAATTTTTTTCCTATATTAAGAAAGTTTAGGGCATTGCGAATTAATTCAAGAACATCCGTAAATAATGCAATCGATTTTTTACACAACAGAGAATAAGTAACTTTTTGTTTTCTTTTTTTTTTTGTTTATAAGGCTTATATAGAAAGTCTTATCGTAGGTTTTTGGTCACTTTTCTGCAAAGACGATTTTTTCGGAAATTAAGAAACGAGTTACATCATAAAAAATTGCTAAAACTCGACCCGAAATTACAAACCAAGTTTTAAACGCAGATTTTAAGAGACTTAAGCCCCAAGACTATAAGGATTAATTTTTTTTTATTAATTTTCATGTTGTGTGTAGTCCATAATATAGAAACTAATAAATAGTGGCATACAACTTTCATAGAATTTTATTCTTGGGGAAAATGTTGACTGAATAGCATCATGCAATCGCATCTTTTTAAAATCAAAAAACCAAAAAAAAAAAAAAAAAATAAAACATTTTTGTACAACTATCACATTAGGAAATGGAGTATTTTGTTTATTAATTTTTAATTTTTCTATATTTCATAATAAAGAAATTAAATAAAAATAGCATAGCCCAAGATTTAGAACAAATTAATATTGGACTTTATAAATCTAGGATAAAGACGATCGGAGTTGAGTTAACTTTATTGGTTTTGGACAATTCCAAAGTGAAGTTGGACGGGATGAGGGCGTTGCAGTGTTGTGCCGCGGACGGAAACGGAAACGGAAATGTACATCTGGATCTGAATGATGATCTCGATATGCGGGCGGGCGGTCTTTTGGGCGGTTGGACGACTGAGGACTCTCCCGCGATGTGGCCGATGTGCGACGTCATCTGAGGTGGTTTCAGGACTTAATCTCGATGCAGGCATCCGGACGGGGCGCCACCACCGTTCCGCTGCTGTCCACGGCGGTTGGGGCAGAGTTGAGCAGGGCCAGCGTTGTGGCACCGTCCAAGACCTCATCCTTGCGCACGTGCAGCATATCGATCTCGGTAAGTGCAACATTTGGTTCCTAGATAAGAAATGTGGCTTGAGAACGTGCTGCGGAAGCGGTACGGAAAGGGGGCTAGAAATTGGGCGGAATTGAATTGATCGTTCACCTTCTCCATGGCGGCGTCCGACACCTGCAGATGGTACTTATCGCGGCAGTGGCGCGACAGCAGGGCAATGCCCAGCTCCCGGTTCTTGGCGTACTTCGACTCCCAGGCGTCCAGCAGGCGATTGTAGTAGCGCGCATTCTCCACATACCGCAGATAGACATGGGTGCCCGCGGTGGGGAAGATGCGCTCCAACGGCTGGCACCTGGCCAGCTCATCCTCGGCCACGATCAGGCAGCGCACATCGTCGGGCAGCAGGTTGTCCAGTATGGTATCCACATACTCCTCCCGGAACTCGATGCTCCGGTTGGTGTACTGATTGTGCTTGCGCACCTCCTCCGCCGTCAGGCAGGTGGTGAAAATGCGCTTGTCATGGCACAGTGGACCCGCCAGCTTCAGCTCCTCCAGAATCTCCGCCTGCTGGCGTTCATTCAGCTTCGGCGGCACCTGATACAGGGCCGTATTGAGCACGGCCTGTATGAGTGGACCCTTCACATGCAGATCCAACGGCAGTTCGGAGTGCAGCGAGGGCGATATGTTGATCTCCAGCAGCCAGGGCACCAGATTCTCGTCCAGCAGCACATCGAAGCCGAAGAGCTCGAAGCAATTGTAGCGAAAGTTCACATTCTGGCGGTACATGCGATTCAGGCCCGACTCGCCACTCACAATGCCCTTGATCACCAGATTGCGCAGGGTGGCCCACAAGTGCTTGGTGTTCACGCCACGATTCTCCAGGCAGGACCACAGGGACTGCAGGGTCCACTTGTGGCCCTGGCAGGCATTGAAGTCCTCGTTCTTGGCATAGTTCTGCGAGAACTTGTTGATGCTGTAGTTGGTCAGGTGCATGCACCGCTCGTCCAGGTTGCCCAGCTCCGAGCTGTACTTCACCGAGGCGAATCGCGCCAGGCCATCCTTGTACATGTAGATGCGCAGCGGATTGATCGAGGTCAGCACCACATACAGACGCATGTCGAACTTGTTGTCGTTGATCAGCAAGGGGCGCTCAATATATCTGAGTTAAGGGGTTAAGGGTTATTACCGATGGTAGGGTTGTTACCTCAAGAGTGGTTGACCTACTTCTGCACCACCAGGGGTCGATCCTTGGGGAACTGACTCCACTTGTTCACGATGCGTATCCCGGTTCCTCGGGCACTCGCCGGCGGCTTAACAATCCACTTTGTCAGCTTCGAGGCGTTCTTGGGCCACACCTGGCGCAGACTCTCCAAATCATCAGGCATTATGTAGGATCTGTTGTGGAAGTATTGAAAAAATATTGGTTAGAGATGGTGTATAATATAAAAAGTATAAAAATAGATTCTTTAAAAATAATGTTATATTATTTTATTGATTTAACATTATCTAACAACTATCTAAATGACTAAGATATACAATATATATATATATATATATGATATATAATATAATATATATATGATATATAAAATGCATAAAAATAATTCACTTTTACTCTTATACCATTTTAATTAATGTAAAATTCTCATTAACTCATATTCTACACATTTTCTATTCAATCTAAAAAACTTATAAAAACAATGGTCTAAAAAAATAAGTGCTTAGATCTGTTAAAATATATACAGGATTAAAAATTACTTATCTTTTAAACTTATCAATTAAACATATTTTCCATTTAGTATAAAAAAATATAACATCTAAGTTAAATAATTGAAATAACGAAATTTATGCCAATAAATCCTCTGTAAACAATCTTATATCTTAGTTAAGGGTTTTTTACTCTCAAATTAAGAAAGCATTATCGATTAAAATTAGAAATTTGGAATCATCTAAAAACATTTCCAAATTTAACATGTTTTTATATGTTTAGAAAACATTGAAAAATAAGTTCTATAGATGGTCAAATTTATAATAAGTATACAAATAAATTCACTATAACCTAAGTAATATTTTTGTATGCTCTCAAACCTTGCCAAGTTTAACATATTATACATTTAGTGTAAAAAACCATTGAATCCCATCTAGTTTCTTAAATCCCCATGATCAATGCTCACTTTTGCATGATGCCAAACTCTTTCTTGCCGAATTTCTGCATATTGCTGTAGATGCTGCGCCACATGGTGTCTTTGCGTCCAATCCGGAAGGATCCGGGTATGTGGTTGTACTTCTGGTGCGATCGTATGGTTCTGAATCCGGGGCTCTTCATGTGCTTCTCCCACACGGCCATCCAGTCGGTGGTGTCTGCAAGGGGATTTCATAATTTAAAAGGTTGTAAAAGGCAGCTTTCAATGGTGAACCCACTCTTGATGATGCGAAAGCCCGAGTTGAGCACCACTCGCTTAACAATCTTGGGCATCACGGGACTGAGCTTCCATTTGAGCACTCGATGCAAGGCTGCCGGCATGGGTGGACCCTTGTCGGCATGCGAGGTAAAGTTCAGGTACGGTGGAACATGCGGAAAGAGGCTGGGCGAGAGGATGGCATCCGGACGGAAGTAGATCGACGCCTCAGAGTCCGCGGTGGCCACCGATTCCCTCGACTGCGTCTTCTCCGGCAGCAAACGAGTGTGCTTGCTCTGGCGCGTCTCCGTGTTGTCCTCCTCCAAAAAGAAGGGCGTGCCCACATACTCCTCCTCCGAGTCCGAATCATCGTAGTTGTTAATGTCGTCGATGGCTATTGGAAGACAAAAATGTATTAGGAAATTATTTTTTTAAATGATGGAAATATTCTTGTGTAAAAGTACGAAAATTCTCTGAAGAATTCACGTTCTCACTTGGTTAAATAACTAATTTAAAATGAAAGTACAAAAAGGTTTGTTTCGAATAATGTAGTTTTATTCGGGCCTTGGCATTCTTACTTGGTTCTGGGTCTGAAATGAGAATATAATAGAACACAAGAAGGGATTAGAGGGTTTTATTTAATGCTGAAGACTTTCTTAAGACTGCCCATGGTAGAACTTGCACTAATGAACTTGAGTTCTTACTTGATCAAAATACGAATGCACAAGTTTGAAATTGGTCTAAAGAATTCGCGTTTACACTTATATTTTTAAATACTTATTTTAAACAAGAGTTTAAATAAGTAAATGTTATCGAAGTTCGTTATTTCCTCTTGTTCTGAACTTAAATACTTTTGGTAGTGAATAAAATTTCTGCAATATGATCTCACCTGCGCAGGGATCGTCCTCGTGCCTCCGGTCGTGATCGTGTCCGGCTCCCTTGTTCAGCGAGACACCCACATAGGGCGAGCTGTGATCTCCGGCTGGCATCCTGTACGACTGCTGCTGGCTGTTCTGAGGACCATGGGCGTATAGCGAGGCGTAGAGGCTCGTCTCCAAGGCGCTGACCGCCGACTTGGTCAGCCCGTTCTGGGTGAGCAGCCGGCTCTTCTCCTCCTGCTGCTGCTGGCCACTCAGCATGCTGCTGCCGTGGAACGAGTTCACCACGATCTTGCTGGGCGCCGATGGCTTTAGGGTCTGGGTGCTGGAGCAGGAAATGCCCGAGGGGGCCACCTTCGTCTGGACGGGCGGACTGAGGCTGGAGCGCTTGGATGATCCGTTGCTTGGACTGCCGTTTGAGTGCTTGGCGAAGGCCTCCTCCCTGGCGCGCTTCAATAGCATCTGGTCAGTTAGTTAGGGAGCGGAAGCGGAAACGGAAATGCATAACATGGAACACGCAGGGAGAAAGGTGATACAAGAAATGAAGACATGCTGGTTGGCATTTTGGGGGTTTTAAATGAGGGGAGACATGATTCAATTGATTTTCTGTTAATTCAATCTAGGCAAAATTAACTAAAAATACCAATGAGCGGTAATGACACTTGTGATCGCAAAGCAAGAAAACTTTTAAGCAAATTAAACATAAAAAAGATAAACAAACATTATTTGAGTAGGAAGACACCAAATAAAAACATAAAGTAAAATTTCTATTACTCTTATACTTAGTGAAATATTTTTATGAAAATTTTTTATTTTAATTTTATGACAAATACACTAAAATATCTTTATTAGTCCGTTTTTTTTGCTTTTAAGTCCTTTGTTTCTTAAATTAAATTAAATTAAATTTGAATATGAAATCCTTACATTAACATTTAATAGTTTCTAATAATCTTTATAGTGGAAAAATTGTGCTTTTGGTGTGTCTTTTGAACAAACTTTTAAATAAGCTGAAATTATATCAGGCTAATTGTTTTATATTTAAAATACAAGAATTCACCAAAAAAGAAAATTGTCGTAGAAACTAAACTATTATTATGAAAAAATTTTCTATAAGATGAGTATTAATAACATATTAAACTAAACATCATTTTTGTATTTTTTAATAAAAAGGTGCTTTAAAGGATTGATATTTTCTGTTACCAAAGAGCCAAAAATTATGACACAATACCACAGATCAACTACAAAAAAATTACATTAAAAGTTCTTTGCCAATATAGATCTTTTCAATTAAGATGGTATTATCGCTCACCTGGACTTTCTTGTAAGGCTCCGATTGGAGTACACTGTTGGCCACTACGGACGTGGGACTGGAGGCCACCTTGGGTGGCGAGCCGTTGGGCGGGGATCCCCGGATGGTGATGCGCTGGTTGGTGGCCTTGGATGCGGTGCCACCTCCAAGAGCGGTCACTTTCTCCGGGGTCAAGCGTTTTCGGGGTGATGGCGGCGATCTATGCTTCTGGCTGGGTGGCGAGTAGCGATTGGAGGCGGATGCGGCAGCGGATGCTGAGGGATTGGAAGACGATCCTCCTCCACCAGCTGAACTGCGATGCTGTGGAGTGCTGGACTGCATAATCCGGCCCTGATTTCGAAACGGGGCGGCGGCAGCGGCGGCAGCCAGGTGCGGCTGAAAGTGGAGCGCCGAGGCGGGCACATGATTGTGGTGGGCCAACTTCTTGCACATGACCATCTTGTCCTTGTACAGCTCCACCTCCTCCAGCCAGGACTCGTGGAAGTCGAGAATCTCGATGCCCTTGCCGCTGCGGTGGTTCTGTTTCTGATTCTGGCTGTGACGCCCCGTCAAACTGTGGTTCTCCTTGGCGGCAGTTCCCGATCGTGCCGAAGTTGTCCTCTTCTCGGTCATCTGAGCCATATTGAGTTCACAGGTAATTTGGATAGCTGCAAGTGGAAAGCAAAATTGTGATTAAAAAATAATTTTAAATGGGATAATGTTTGCATGCCTAATGAGTCACTATCTAATTGTTTTTTGAACTTTTGAACTAGTGTCTTCATATTATTTTTGCATAATTATAAAATTTTTATTAATTATTATTATTTATACATTTTTATTTTGCCATATAAGTCACTGAATAAATTAATTTTCAGTATTTTAACTGGTAAAGAACATATTATTGTTTAATATTTATAGGATTTTTGTTCTTTATACTTATTAACACATTTTTATTTTGCGTTTTTTTTTATTATGAATGAAGTAACGAATTAAAGAAAAAATGTTTTTTTTAGATTAGGATTTTTAAATGAATATTTTGTTTAATTTTTTTTTGTATTTTGTTCACTTTTGTATACTGACTACATAGAAAAAAAATATTTAGTCGGATATGCAGATTATTTTTATTATTATTTGTATTATTCAATATTAATATGAATAATCTTTTTAATTTTATTTGTATTTTTTACATATAAATATATTTTATTTTTGGATTGATAAATTTGTCTTTTTTTTATATGCACATTGTAATGTACTTAATTTTTCTTTTATTTTACTTTTACAGCTCCGAATTCCCCGCGAATTGGGACCACTTTTCGAAAGTGGGTTTTCCGAATGGGTTCAAGGTGGTTGTTTTTTGGGTGCTGCGGTTTATTACTTCACCACTCGGGTGGTATTTGTGCGCGCGGCGGCGTGTCAATGGCTGGCTATTTTCGAAAACTCATGGCACAGCACCAAGATCATCAAGGAAAATAGAAAATAGTCCAAAAAAAAGCGAAAAAAACGAAAACGTACAGAATGCGGGGCACACTTCGTTCATCGATTGCCAATCGATCAACAACAACGAAATGCGTGCCAAAAACAGAAAAACGAGCAAATGAAGAAGAGACTTTCGCCTTCAATGAATGCGCCTGTTTGAATTTAAAAATTCAATGGGCGCGAAAAAGTGTGTTTATCGGTATCGCTTTTTGTTGTTGTTTCTTACAGCCGGCGTTTTTTGCACGTGTGTGCGTGTGCGGCTTCAAGCGCGTGTGGGTGTGTGTGCGTATGCAGCTGAGACTCACCGTATTATTTTTTTACATGCGCACAACAAATTTTGTTCAGTTACACAAACAAACCGAGAATTAGTAGACAGTTAATGACTCGGTGCCTCGATCTTAAATATATTCCCACATTTATACTATAAAAATCTCATTAGAGATTTTTGTTTGTTTGAAGCAAAAAAAAAACAACAAAAAAATTGTACAAGGTGGCAACGTTAGAAGACACAGTTCTGCAGTTTGATAACTCATATCGATAGTTTGGCCAGTGCTGCCCATTTGCTGGCGGGAGTTTTAAACTTAACCAAATTTTTGATGGCCCAACAATTGTTTGAATAATTCGTTATTTTTATTTAATTTAACTTACGCTCAGGGCAAAACAATAAGCTCCATTTAAGAAGAACATATTAATGCTAAATTGAATGACAACAATACAAATAAACATAAGAAGCCAATTAATACTAATTTTTAGTAATTAATAAACTTTTTTAAGAAACAAAGTTTAATTGGTGTCCCGAGAGTATGCTCAAGTGCCTTATCAGATTATGAGTAACATATTTTCGGGAAAACATATATAAAAATTCGTTATTATTAATATCGTTTTGGGAAAAAACATGTATAAAAACTTCTTAGAAACGTGGATCATAATTTAAGATTTATGATGAAATTATGATTATGAAATTAAGAGAGCCCCTCACTATATAAATGCCAGCTAAAAAAAATTCCAAATTAGTTCATTGTCAACAAACACCAACCGTGGTTGTACGTGCAAAAAATGTTCAAGTTCGGAATATATATTTTCTACGGCTGTATCATTTTCGGGATAACCCAATCGCAGGATATTCAGGAGTTTGACCATGTGCCAAAGGAAGTCGCTTATCAATGTGCAGGATATTGTATTGACACATTGAGACCATTACTCCAAATAAATGTTAAGCTCCAGAATCAAATTAGCAATCAGAATTCGACACTTAACAGTATGCTGGCCATCCACAGCATAAGCGATCAGTTAAATTACCTTGCTGCATTAATGAATGAAACTCAGACAAATGTGAATACCATTAAAAAGGAAAACCAGGAGAGACTAGACAGAATCGAAAATAAAACACTGGAATATATGGAAAAAATTCAACAAGAAACACTGAATATCTTGAAAGGAATTCAAATGGAGAATGGCAGAACACTAGAGATGGAAGACGAAATTCCTGAAATAGACCCTGGAAAACAAGGATTCGAAAAAATTGGATCGAGATATTTCTACCTTAAAGACATTAAATTCAATAGTCCAAAAAATTGGACTGAAGCCCAAAAAGCCTGTCGGGAAAAAGGAGGTCATCTGGCGGCCTTTCAAGATCTAGAAGAACTTTTGGCCATTCAACGAAAAATTCCTAACTTGTATTACTGGCTGGGCATCAACGATCGCAATAAAGAGGACGAATTTCTATCTGTTGCCTCCGGCAAAAAAGCATATGTAAACTTTGAAACCGGCAAACCTCATAATTATGAAGGCAAAAAAAGCTGTGTTGCATTATACAAAGGTTTAATGGTTGATTTTTCTTGTGGAGCTATACATAACTATATATGCCAGTTCGGCAAAGAATTTTAAATACAGGAAATGTTAAAATATCTAATAAAAAGAAGTCCAAACTATGTTAAAGGTCCCACCAAAAAAATATTATATTATATTAATATGTTTAAAACAAATAACATATACATAAAATTTACAAAAATAATAAATATTATATTCTAAGCTTATAATATGATAAAAAAGTTACTTATTAAATATAATTGTTAATATAGCAAGGAAATAAAATTGTAAACTACAAAGTAAAGTATTTAATTTAAATTTATTTGGAGCTAAAAAAAGATTGAAATTGTAGGTGGCTGCATAAACCAAAGTATATAAATGCATAAAAATAAAAGAATACTTCGCAAAAGTTTTTAAAATAAAACGTTACCCTGAAGTGAAATAAATATAGAAGTGATAAAATAATAGGCAATAACATTAATTTAGGACCCCATTACTGCACAATCAAGAAGTTCATGTTCTGCACCCAGCGATTTACTGGTCATCAAACAGTTTGACATAAATCAGGCATCTGGTCAGCGCTTCCTCTACCTAAACTAAAAAAAAACGAAAGACAAAAAAAAAAGAGACCTACATGAGCGGAACAAATGCTGTGATCAAATGCCGCATTTGGCCAATGATGAAGCCATCACATCGATGTTTCCATTTATACACCTTTTTTCCTGGTGCAAACGAGCGGCCTTTATTGATTTTGATGGCTGCGCAGCAGTACAAAGTGATTTATCGCAGATCCTGCGGCAAATGGAGAAGGAACACACAGAGGCTCATCGCATTCGCATCCACAAGATACGAATCCGTCGATAAGTTGTGGCGGCCTTTAAACGGCCCTCGAGGCAGCATCATCACCATCATCACCATCGTCGTTACCGCCTACAAGACGTCAACACCCAGTGGTCAGCGAATAACCAAAGGAAACTGAAACTGCACTGGGGAAAATTGTCATTAACATAGAAGAAAATTTAAAAAAAAATAAATAAATAATAATACAAAAATAAAATAATAATATTTATAATAAATAATTTTAAGTAATTCATTCAAAATAAATTACACAATTTAAATCATTCGAAAGTATATTATTCAAAATAAATTTAGTTTGTTCAAATGGATTTCAGCCAATTTAAAAGTAAAAATATTCTGGTATTGCCACAAGTTTTTCTCAGTGTTTATATGGAACGAGATTTATGGGACTGGAGAAGGATGCCTGCACTGCGACGCTGATGAACTTATCTACATCTCGGGACATTAACGTGTTTGTTGTTTGGGCCTGTGTTTTGTCATTGGTCGGTCTTCGTTTTCAGGACCCGATACAGTGGCACTTTCGATGGCCCGATCAGATGAAAGATATGGCCCAAATGCGCCTGTGTGGGCCACATCTAAAGAGCACTAAACAAGTAGCTTACACGGAAAGAAAACAAATATTTCCAGCTATTAGGCAGCTAAGCATCAACAGGAGAAAAACAAGAGGCATTAAAAAAAAAAAAAGATAAACCTAAAACATGACTTACAAATTTAGAAGATTAAAAGTAACATAATGTTCCTTAAACAGAAAAGTGATCTGTTAAAGCCTCACTGTTTTTTTTTTTTTTAATTTAAATAGTGGTTAAATATTTTTTAATGGTTTTTGGTGTCGTAAAGAATTTAAACGGAGCTCCATAACCATGTTCTTCTGATTTAACTGACTTAAGAAAAACCATAAATAGTTAAACATAAAATAGTCACGGACCCTACAAAATGTCTTTAAAATCTTTTTCAGAATTAATTTCTTAATTGCCTATATCTACTCATAGCTATTTGTAATTAATAAATTAATGTTATTATTTTCAACTATTTGTAGTTAATAAATAAATGTTATTATTTTCTCCCTGTACAAAAGTAGTTCAGCTGCAGATATTTGTTGTGCGATAAGCACGCCGCTTGTTTATAAAATATTATTAATTATTTAATCAAGGCGGTGCCGGCTGCTCAAGTTTTGGATTTCATCATCTCGCACACACCCGCTAAAGGAAAAGTATCGAGTTTCTGGAGTAAATGCAATTAATTTGCTCCTTGCACAATGCACACAATGCGAGAATAGAGCACTTTTAGCCCCCTCGCTCGACAGCATACAGAATACAACTAATTTGGGCCTATTCAGAAAACTGCAAGACATGTGTGTGCTTTGGATTTGGAGCCCCTAATCCTTTCACTAGATGTTTGCTTTCGGCACCTTTTAGTAAACGTGAGATGGCTTGAAAAGGATTTGCGATCGGCACGCCGTGATTAGAGCTCAATTTACACACCCAGCCGAAAAAGGTGTGTGCAAAGATGGAATCGAAGAAATCGGGACGATTCATTATTCAATCAATAGCGAATGGCACATATGGTTTTGGGATCCTTTAATCCTGCAAAAAAAAAAAAAAAACGATGGAGTGGGGGACATGTGTTGCGCAATGGAAAAGGGTTTTTCAGATCACTTTTCCAAGATCAAAGAAAATTGGGGAGTAGTCCTCTTATCAAACTCAGCTGATTAGTTTTGAAAAGATCTCTATGAGTAGAAAAAACATATTATTATACATTATATAATATTATTATTTAAATTTGGCAGCATTCAATTATTTTTCACAATTACTTTCGATGATGTAATTACTTAACGACAAGCTTTTTAAAAACGGCTATAAAAACCGTGAAACTGATAAGAAATATTAAGAATAATTTTATAATTACCAATTTAACTGTTCCGGGAACTGGCAAATTTCCATAATTCACTTTTATACCGAAATAAAACTAACCTTACACAACGCGTAACCGATAAGAATGTTTGAATGAATAATGCTTTGTCTTATAGCCAAATTTTTAGAGAAAAAACTTGAAATTTATGTGGCTGAAATAGTTTTTCTTGCAAGTACTATGTATTTCAATTCTTTCAGCTTTTGATGAAATCTCTTACCAACGAACATTGTTGGGATTTTTATTAGGCATCAATCAAAATCAGAATCAGTTTGCTTTTGACCTTCGCCTTGGTTGGCTTAAAACTCGCTTAATGTTCAACTTTAAAATTATAATGATTTTTTAATGTATAGATATACTTCTATGAACACATAAAATTATGAGTAAATAAATAAAATATTAATAGATTCTGAAAATATTTTTAGCACAATTATGTTTAAGGTTAAACAATAAAGAGTTTTAACCAAGGAAATTTTTTGCTTAGTTTTTGTTTGTGAAAACCGGATCATTTTTACAAAAGTAACATCCTCAATTGATTTTTTTTATGATTTTGTAAACTAAAAGAAAGCTAAAGTATTTTTGGTCTATATTCCCTTTTTCAACAACTTTTAATTTGATAAAATAGACCTGTTGGATTCGTCACATGGCAAATTTAATCAAACCAATTAGGTACCTCAATAAAGATAGGCAATTTTTCTCCGAACCCTCAAAAGATTCTACTGCCAATTAAACATCTTCGATCTGAGTTTTCAACTGCGAGCAGGCAAAATGGGTGCCGTCTTTGATATTTCTGTTAATCGCCAGCTAAGTCGACGATTAATTTTACTGCTTATTTTGTTTTCACCCATTCG